GTCCCAGCTACTCGGGAGGCTGAGGCAGGAGAATGGCGTGAACCCGGGAGGCGGAGCTTGCAGTGAGCCAAGATGGTGCCACCGCACTCCAGCCTGGGCGACAGAGCGAGACTCCGTCTCGAAAAACAAACAAACAGAAAAACATAACACACGCCGTTGCTTCTAACTGCAGAGAGCAGAGACAGCCCCGCAAGGCAGCTGCATGGGGGCCCCGCCTTGGTGCCTGCAGCCGGCCTCCTCTGGCACAGCTGCTTCCCTCTCAGGACTCTTATACTCTGCAAAGCTCTCAATCCTCAATCATTTTCGTCTGGGTTTTCAATAATTTTCATCTGGGTTTTACCTATCACATTGGGAATTACTAATGAAAATATTTAAAATATTGAATACATTTAAAATAAAAACAAACCCATGACTTAACATAGACACAATTTTGAAAAATTATTTTCCAAAAAAAAAAAGTGAGAATGGCATTAATACTTTTATTAGCCTCGTTAACTGTCTGGCTTAATGGAAGTGTAAACCAGAAAAAGTGGCCAGGCGCAGTGGCTCAAGCCTGCAATCCCAGCACTTGGGGAGGCCGAGGCGGGCAGATCACGAGGTCAGGAGATCGACACCATCCTGACTAACACAGTGAAACCCCGTCTCTTCTAAAAATACAAAAAAAATAGCTGGGCATGGCGGCGGGCGCCTGTAGTCCCAGCTGCTCGGGAGGCTGAGGCAGGAGAATGGCATGAACCCAGGAGGTGGAGCTTGCAGTGAGTGGAGATCGTGCCACTGCACTCCAGCCTGGGCGACAGAGCAAGACTCCATCTCAAAAAAACAAAACAAAACAAACTGGGGTTTGAGACAGGCCTCAATCCATTTAGAGGCTGATTTTGCCACAGCTGAGGATGTGCCAGGGAAAGAGACACAAGCCACAGTAGGCTCTGTGTCCGGGGCTTTTTCCAAAGAGTTTTGAGGGTTTCAATATTTAAAGGGGAAAATGGCAGGAGGGGAAGGAGGAAAGAATAAAAAGGAGGGGGGTAGGAAAAATGAGAGAAGTGGGGCACAGCCTCGTGAGGCTTTGATGAGCGCTTGCTGACTCGCAGGGGGCAGAGGAAGAGTCAATTACAAATTCGGCTCATGCTCAGTACATCTGCACTTTACGTCAGATAAAGTCAACCTAGAGTGGAGGAAGAAGTCAAATATGCATTGGTTTGGGAATGGGCGTACGGGCAATTTCTAGTGTCTAGTCCCTTACGGAGCAATGAGCTGTGACTTTACATTGTCCTTCAGGCCCAGAATGAAAAGGCAGTTTCCCATGTGACTGTTTCCAAGCTCACCCTTTTCTTCTGGCCTAGTGAGCTTGCAGGTGGAGATTTTCCTTTCCTTTCACAGGAGACAGGTGAATTCTCATTTCTCTTTGTGCGTGCCCACATTGTGAGCTGTGTTGGTGGAAGGAGGTGAAGAAAATTTGACCTCACAGAGATGTAGTAGGAGAGAGAGGCTCTCTTGGACACCCTGAAAAGGCCTCAGGAACTCCAGGGGTCCTCAGCCAGGACTTTGAGAACCCATGTTCTAGAGGCAGAAGGCATTTGCCAGCCTGATTTGGGGGTTGGCCAATGGAAAGTGGGTGGAGGGGACAGTGCAGCTCTGGGCCCTCTTACAACTGTGTCACCACCGTGATACACACGCCTGAAGCCAGAAGAGAGATGTGAAGCTAGAAGAGAGATGTGAAGCCTGGCAGCTCCTAACTGCAGGCCCAGAGCCCCTCAGCTGAGACCAGCCCACCGCAGGCCCAGAGCCCCTCAGCTGAGCCCAGCCCACCGCAGGCCCAGAGGGCCCCCCTCAGCTGAGCCCAGCCCACCGCAGGCCCAGGGCCCCTCAGCTGAGCCCAGCCCACCGCAGGCCCAGGGCCTCTCAGCTGAGGCCAGCCCAGCCCAGCCAGGCGCGCGAGTGAGAAACGCTGCTTCTCACCGACTTCAGGGGCAATTCTGTTACGCCGCAAAAGCTGACAACAAAAAGGTTGGTGATATTAACAAAAATAATACCATACAGCTTATGGAAGTTTTGAGCTAAGCTGAAAATAGACTAATCCTGGCATTTACCAATTCTGTCCTGGAAAGGTTCCCAGAAAAAAAAATTCCCCTTTGGATCTTGTGTGTGAGTGCTAAACATTGTGTCCCTGAATAAACTGTCTCCCAACGTGAAACACATAGTTCCGCCTCAATCTGATACTGTTCAGCTCTCCTAGCCGGTTCGCAGTCCTACCCTTTGCAGACACGAGTGTGTGCCACACACAAGCAGCCCGAACCATGTACCACGGCTGTGTGGACCGAAGACTCTCAGCTCAGGCCAAGGAAAGCAGAAGCTAAGGCTGTGCAGACACATGGGACTGGGGAGGAAGTCGGAGGAAACCCTGAAGGCTCCAGAGCCCTTCAGCCCCTGCCACCAGCTGGTCCCCTGGAACCTTCCATTCTCCTAATCACTTCTTTGTGACTTGAGTTTGGTTTCTGTAATCAAAAAAAATCTAAACTTGGCTGAAATCTCACTTACTGCTGTATCAAGGACTAACTGACTTTTTGGTTGCAGTATATCCCCTGGTGCTAGTCTAACTGGTTAAGAAAGCTCAGCCTACACTTTTATGACAGATGTTTTATTTATAGATAATTAAAATTTAGGCATATACATGACACAAACATTATATATAGTACACTTTCCATGATAGAAGTTATGATGCTGTTCACAGAAAGGCCTCAATTCAGATGACATAATGCATATGCTAGAAGGCGACACCTGGGAGAGGGGACACCAAATGGCCTTCTGGTTTTTCATTTTGGTTTAAATATCCTCTGGATGCATTCAAGTAATACTGATCATTTCATGTTCAAAAGGCTTTTAATAAACAAATTCAGAGTAAAATTAATTGAAATATTTATAATAACGATTTGTTACACAGTTATTTCCAATATACAATCAAGACGACTCACGACACTTGAAAGAAAGGAGAAAGAAAAAAATCGATTGCACCCACAAGTAAAAAGGCTTGATTCATTTTGGGGATGCTGCAATTCGGTATTTATATAAACATTTACACACTGTGTAAACACAGTCCTACATGTAATGCAGCATTACGGGTGAGAAGACCCTTGGAAGTCGAGCGTCCACGGTGTTCCACGCGCACAGGCGGACCTTTCCACTGTCACTCCCAGCACGGCCAGTCAGTCTCTCCACCCCTCCTCCCGCCTGGCTCGAGGACAGACGCTTCTCATCAGACACACCAGGCAGCCTACAGTCTACACAGCAGCGAGCGCTCTGCCGCCTGGCGCAGGCTTTCATTTCACAAGGACATTTCCCCACCTTAGTGTCCTGTTAAATAATCTTGCGTAGAGTCGGAAGCGAAGGAGTCGACATCCTCGTTATCTGAATCGTCGCTGCTGTCGTCGGCGGCCGGCTCTCCTGTGAGCGCGATGCGGGCATAGTCATCCGTGTCTATGGACTTGCAGAAGTGGATGGCGTACTTGAGCTTCTCCTCCAGCACCTGCTTGCAGGAATACCTGGGCAGCTTCAGCAAGAAGAAACAGGTGTAGGACTCAGGGAGGAAGTGGTCTGGAGGGTTGTATTTATCCAACACCTGTTGAGCAGAAATATGACGTGATCAGAAGCTGAACATGGCTGCAGTCTACTTTACTGTACTCATTAGGCTCTTTGTGCTCACAAAACCATGTATTTTGCTAAGAACAAAACAGCAGAAAACATAATCCAACCAACTTTAGGAGTAACAAGGTGCAACTAATTCCTAGAACCTGGAGTAAGAAACAGCACCTCACTATGGAGACGACGGCTCTCTACGGTCATCCCGGGAAGAGGGCCCGAGGACCACACCACCCCTATGGGCCCGGGGAGGCCTGGCAGGCGGAGGGCCAGGCACGTGATCATGGGAGAGCTCCTCACGAGTCTACCAGCCCAACTTTGACCACTACAGATTAAGATACTAAGAAACAGCAAGAATTATGGACAAAAACTAAGAATTACTGACCTTCTAAGATAAACTATGCATGCTCTCCAAGGTGACCCTGAAAGACGGCCACTTTTCTAACCCTGGTAGAGACGCAGGTCAGGCTCTGCTGGGCACATGCTGGGAACAGTGGACCCTAGCGATCCATCCACCCAGGCACTGCTGTTACGGTCCCAACAGAGAGCGAGGGCATCAGGCCACCCCCTCTCAGTGACCCGGCAGGTCCGTCGAGCTTGTTTCTGACCACTGGCCCACAGAGTTGGAACCCAAAGCGAAACCCTTGTTCTCAATCCTACGAGCAGCCTCATTTTTCTCAGCATCTAGCGTGTTACTTAGTGACTCACCTAATCCGACCAGATAACTGAGCGAGTGCTTTGCGTGTGTTTGAAACCTAGAGTGGGCTGACACAGCAGTGGTGTATTCTGGGGATGGCCAGATACATTTTTAAAAAACAGGTCATCATACCCAAAACACATAATCATAACATTTTGAGCCTTCACATCAGAGAAGTTGGATGTTTTCCATTTTCATTTCTGTGAAGACACAAGAGGCCCATTTTTCCATGTGCTGCAGGACCGTGGGTGAGGACCTGGCCACCATTGGCCGACATCAGCCCAGGGCTGGCAAGCCCAGCCAGGAGCCTACCTGGATGACGAAGTCTCGGCCCCGGAAGTCGGCAATGGTCCTGGGCAGCCTCGTCCGGCCCCAGACGAAGCGAAGGAAGAGCGAGCGCTCTGTGTTGGAGAAGGACTCCATCACCTCCCAGAACCACTGGATCAGCGATGCGGAAGGCTCGATGCCTTTATAGGTGGCCACCGACTTGAGCAGATGCAGGGGGATGTCAGGGCTGCCACACACCTGCAGGAGGATGTCCGTCAGGACCGTGTGATGCTTCCCACCTGGCATTTCTGCAAGACTCCATCACGCTCCCTCTCTACACCAAGGCCTGTTTGGGGCAGGGAAAGGTCTGGGGGCTCCGGGTGGGCCCGCATACAGCCTCCTGCGGGCGGGTGGAGGGACGCGCTCAGAGTGCACTCCCTTCAGTCAACACACAGGGCAAGGCTCTGACTCTGAACTACTGTCACTGATTTGTGGGTCAGCAGGCAAAGGCAGCTGCAGGGCAGCCCCACCTGGGGGTCGGCATACCATCGTCTCCAGTTCGTAGCCGGTGAACAGTGAGAGGAGGGGGACAGGCACAACGCGGGCCATCCCTTCCCGAACAGCAGCCACCTGCTCATCAAATTCATGGAGTCTGGAAGAAAAAGCTCACTTTACACTTCTGTCTTCGGTGACACTGACTTTGTTCTGCTCACACCAATCCTTGGCACGCAGCACTGCGGCCGCACACTTCCCAGCTGGGAGGACAGAGCACCAGCTCCAGATGGCATGAGCATACTTAGCAGCTCAGCACTGCAGAACTTCTCCCGACACTCGACACTCGGCTCATCTCGTCCGGCAGATGGGGTACAGCCTAATGACCACCCACAGCTACGCACACCCCAAGCCACCACTCTCAGTATCCACCGGATACCCCAGGAGAAGCCAGCACCAAGAGGGGAAAGACGCGCACCCGCCACAGGCCCGAGACACCATGCTGACCCACAGCAGACACGATACGGGGGAGAGCACCACCCAGGACACCTGCCAGGACTACCCCCACCAGAGCCCACAGGGTTCACCCACCACATGGGGCCTCATCCAGACACTCTCAGGTGCTTCCAGGGGACATGGGACAAGCAGTGGAAACTGTGGGTGGTGGTAATGACCTGCCAAGCCTGAATCACGGTGCCCAAAGGCCTGTGCACAGTCACACCTGGACACCTGGCAAAGGCTGCTCTGTGTCACTCAAGCAGCCTGGAGGGGGTCGAGACAGCCCCAGACCCAGCCCTGTCCCAAGGAAGCCAACAAAGAAAGCACACAGGGCAAAAACTACGGCCTCCTCAGGTGCAGTGACCCAAATGGGTGGATTTTGTTGATCTTGGTATTCTGGTTAGAGCTAGGAGTAATGAACACCGACCCTGATCACAGAATAAGCTTCACACCCACAGATCAGCAATAGTTGCAGCCAAATCCATTACTGTACTGTGGACGACACTCCTAAAAACACACGTCCATGCAACCATTTTCTGCTACTTTTGCTACCTGTGTCAATGCAACAGAGACAGATGACCACCAACCTGTAGTTTATCGCCAGCCGCACGTACTCCGCGCGGTTGTCCAGGGTGATGTGCGTGTGCTTGGAGCTCAGCTGGATGTCCTGGCCGCTGGCGCTCGGCACCGTGAAGGGCAGGCTCATGGCCTCAAACTCCTCCGAGGTGGCTTCATTGTCTCGGATGTACATGAGTCCAGGAATAAAATCTTTATCAACCTTTTAAGGAGAAAAAGAAAGCCCACGTGTCGACTCAGGGCTCGTCTCCACCCCAGATCCCAGTCCACCCAGCACACTCTGTCAAGCAGGAGCCGGGGTCAGCCTCAAGTGCATCTCGAGGCTGCAAGTACACAGCACACACCAAGACAGAAGAGGAGCAACGAGAGAGTACTTCACCCAAGGAGCTGAACAAAGAATTCACAGTTCAGTCAAGTGCTTAAAACTAACCACTGAGAAAGTTACAGCAACTGGCTAGCAAGGATTCCCGTCCTGCAGCCGAGGCACGACACAGCCACAAGGGATGAGCTGGCTGTGGTCACCCCAAGACACAGCCTCCTGTGCAAGCCTGACTTGCAGCCCCCCGGCTTCCCAAAAGCTCAGCTTCTTCACAGGGGAGGCAGTGAGCTTCCTTATCTGACAAGACAGTGTACGTTACAAAACACCAGAAAGCAGATGATCTATTTTTTTTGCTACTCAAAGATGGCCCACAGCCAGGAGCCTCTGCGTCACCTGGGCACCAAGTTAGGCCAGAGTTCACAGCCTGACCAGACCCGCAGAACAGACTGTGCCTGTTAACAAGACCCCAGAGGCCCCGCCTGCCGCCCCAGGGAGTTACCTCACTGAGGTCCGCGATGGTGAGGCTCATCCCAGCCAGCTGCTTCCAGACAGGTTCAGCGAGGTTGAGGCTTAGGGGACTCCCGGTTCGGATGGCAATGCCCAGCAGCACACCTGATCATTCAGGACACAAGTGACAGAGGACACTTGAAAAGGATGACAAAACTTCCCGTTCACTCACACACGCCACTGGCAGCAGCTCCACACTGAGGCCTCAGAACCTTCTGAAGCAGTAACACCCAAATCATAGGTCTAGGCCCTTCCTCAAGACCATCTGTCCTCCTCTACATCTATCATTTCCTTTGGTGCCTATAAGCCTCTAACTCTTCACATCCCTTCTGCACACACATTAGTTTAAGCCACACAGAGGCCAATTCTTCTTCTTCTGACAGCAAAGAGCTGGAACTTCCCCATGGGAGTGTCCTCCAGGGAGCTACAGCCCTGCCCAGGAGGTGCTGGCTGTGGTGGGACGCACAGCCAAGGACATTCTGCACACCCTCAGTGGGACAGGAGGGAGGGACTGGCCAATGGTGAAGACCTCACCCCTCTCTGATCCCAAGTCTCAGATAAACATTGAAGATGCAGAAACAGAATCTCACATTTTCTGAGTGCTCAAGGCAGTCTCCAGTCCTCAGCATGTGGCCAGGGCCTGCTGGCTCTGCCAGTGCCTGTAACTATGCACAGAGCTTCCAATGGTCCACCACCGTCAGGCCCTCAATGCTAGGCACGGAAGTCAACAGCACACCTTGTTCGCTTCCATAACGTTGGTGAAATGCACGATCAACATGAAAAGTCTTTTCTTTTTTTTTTTTTTTGTGGATACAGAGTGTCGCCCAGGGTGGAGTGCAGTGGCGCGATCTCAGCTCACTGCAACCTCTGCCTCCTGGGTTCAAGCAATTCTCCTGCCTCACCCTCCTAAGTAGCTGGGACTACAGGTGCATGCCACCACAGCCAGCTAATTTTTTTTTTTTTTTGTATTTTTAGTAGAGACAAGGTTTCACCATACTGGTCAGGCTGGTCTCGAACTCCTGACCTCAGGCAATCCACCAGCTTCAGACTCCCAAAGTGCTAGGCTTATAGGCGTGAGCCACCTGCGCCTGGCTCTAAAAGTCATTTTTATTGGTAACATTTTATTAGTTTTTAGTCTCAAAAACTAAAAGCAGATATTCAAGATATATCTACTGTCACTCCTCAAACAGACGGTACACTTTAACTCAAGAGCAGGCACAGGGCACAGCAACCCAGTTCAAGCGGCCGAGAAGCTCACCCAGGAAGCGGAACATGCTGCTGTGCACAGGTGCTCTGGCGGCCGGGCTGAGCAGGTAGCAGTCTCGGTTGGCCCCAGACTCATCCCTCCCGTTGGGTGTCACGATCAGCAGGGGTGTGAGTCCGTTCTGCAGCTCCTCACAGATCTCAGCTATGGACTCACTGTAGCCACCCCCACAGTCATCCACAGATTCACCTGCAGGGGAGAAGCAGTCACTCGGAGTCCCCTCGCACAGTCCTGTGTGAAGACCCCCAACACTCCCGCACCATGTGGCCTCTGTGCTCCCCGTGGGCTCAGGCGACCACTGCCGGGGACACAGGTGCTCCAGCGCGCCCAGCAAGTTCTCACCCACAAACTTGACTTTCCAGACACGGTGAGGAAGGAGGAGGCTGTCGGGACCAAAGGAGCTCATCTTAGCACACATCTGCCCAAAGACAGACTTGGTGCCGTCGGGGCCAGCCAGCCCACCTTTGCTCCTTGATCGTTTGACCTGGAGAGGAGAAAGCAAGCAAGCGTGAGGCCGCTGCCGCAGCAGGAAACACACAGCCGGGGACACGCGGAGCTGACGAGTGCATGAGGAGGAGGCACTGTGCATGGGCCCCTCCCTGGTCACGCACCTGCTTGCAGACCCCGCCATCCAGGGCACTCGACTCTGAACACCCGAGACCGCTGCCCTCACCCCACTGGTCATGTCGCCAGTGATATGCCCAGCAGCCCCTAGGACTAGTGTGTCTGAACAAACACACCTTCCAACATGACACACACTACCACCACGTCTACAGCTGCGGCCTAGCAGCATCACTTTGGCATGGACCATTCTCACACCCTATGCACTGCCACCACTTCACCATCTTGCCATGACCTCAGGAAATAAGACACCAGGAACTCCAAAAGCAGCTCTCCCAGCAGATCAGAACAGACTCCCGGCACTCAAAGATTCAACCCAATGCCCCTGAGACTGAAGCAGATACAGTGAGTACCTCGGCTGGGACCAGGCCTTTCCCATATCCACTTCCACCCATCCACTTCCACCAATCCCACTTCCAAGCCTCGGGGCCACTCAGCCTCCCCAACACAGGCAGTCACTCTCGCTGCCCATCCTTCTCATCCTAAGCTACAATTTCCAAAGGCTCAGGGGACTCCAATTCCCAGACATCAAGGCAGGAGCCCTAGGCCCCTGCCACAGCAGGACCTCGGGGCATCGGAGGGCGGGTGGCCGAGGCTGTGCGTCAGAATCATCTGAGAAGCCCAGTCTGGAAGCATGTCAAAAAGAAAAATTGAAGAAAAAATGGTCCTGAGAATGTATTTTGATGACTCCTCCAGTGAAACTCTCTTTATCTTTAGCTCACATAAAGTTGAGTTTAAACCACTTACAGCCCAGGCTGCCATAACCAAGACTAAAAATACAAGAAGACAGACAGAAGCCACAGCTGCCTGTAGAATGAACTTGTCTGTGTGCCACACACTCGGCTAGGTGTTCACAGATGTGAGTTCCTGGAAACTCGCAGCAGCTTTTTAAGGCTCCATCATGCCCAGAGGAGACTGGGCTACAAGAAAAGAACAGGACATGTCCTACGTCACGGCAGCCGTGTGACAGGACAGGTGCACCCAGCTCCCCAAAGCCCACGGGGCTGCCTCTTCTCCGCGACAGCACCCACTGGTAGAGGCTGTCTGTGCTCAGAGGCTGCAGAAAACAGCAGCCATGATCCTGGAAGGAGACAGGCTCCTGTGGGACAGCACCTTCTCTGCTCAATAGAAACACACATGATTTTAACTGTCTTTAATCTGAAGTCCCTAAATTTTCAGAAATGTGCATCTAATAATTCTGTAATACATTTTTAAGTGTAAAAAAGTTTTTAGGTACTGACGTTCAGATCCTGCTATAAAACTAAATAAAATTCCCAACAAACAAAACCCTCCAGTAAGATGATCTGTGTTCTGGCGTCTCCGAAACTTTCCACAGACAGCTGCAAGAGCCCCTCCCATGGCATCCCCTCGGGAGGCGTGCCCCTGAGCGCATCGTCACAGCCGTGGGGTGGCGGGACGGAGGTGCCTGTGCAGCCTTCCTGGCTCCGTGCTGGTGTCCTGTGCACACCTTGAATTCATAGAATGTTTTTCTCCATGTTCATTTTTGGGCAGAAAATCACTTCTATTTCCACACGTGTAGAAAATTTCCTCTCTTCGGGAGGGGCATGCTACCCTGAACGGGAAGGAGCCATCCATGGCACCCGGGGCCGTGGCTGAGCCACAGCAGCCCCCAGACGTCAATTCACATTGCACACTAGGCTGAAGGGTGTTTATCTGATTCTTAGGAAGGCCTGATGCCGGGCGTGGCGGCTCACGCCTATAATACCAGCACTTTGGGAGGCCAAGGCGAGTGGATCACCTGAGGTCAGGAGTTCGGGACCAGCCTGGCCAACATGGTGAAACCCTGTCTCTACTAAAAATACAAAAAAAAATTAGCCAGGCATGGTGGCACACGCCTGTAATCTCAGCTTCTTGGGAGGCTGAGGCAGGAGAATCGCTTGAGCCCGGGAGGTGGAGGCTGCAGTGAGCCGAGATCGCACCACTGCACTGCACTCTAGCCTGGGCGACAGAGCGAGACTCTGTCTCAAAAAAAAAAGAAAAAAAGGCCTGATATAAGTTGTTTTTTGTTTGCTTTGAGACAGTGTCTAGCTCTGTCGCCCAGACTGGAATACACCAGTATGATCTCGGCTCACTACAACCTCTGCCTCCCAGGCTCAAGCGATCCCCCTGCCTCAGCCTCCTGAATAGCTGGGACTACAGGCACCCACCACCACACCAGGCTAATTTTTGTACTTTTTGTAGAGACGGGGTTTCACCATGTTGCCCAGGCTGGTCTCAAACTCCTAGGCTCAAGCAATCCATCCACGTCAGCCTCCCAAAGTGCTGGGATTACAGGCATGAGCCACCACGCGTGGCCAGAAGGACTAATATAAATTTGTTTGCCATTTACCCAGTTTGTTTTTTCAATTGCATACTGAATGAACATTTTTGTAACACAAGCTGGGGATAGCAAGACGCATAGGAAAGAGGCGTTCAGCATGTAATGACTTCTCAAAAATTTCAGATGATACAAAGACAGAAATAAGGGTGCCTAACATGCATCCTAGTTTATCAAAGCTTCGCTGATGCTCAGAGCCCCCCCAGGCTTGAAGAGGGGGCTTGAACACCCACCCTGAGAGCCCCTGGCCCAAAACGCCTGCATGCGGTTTTGAGGGAGGTGCAAGTTGAGATGTACTCAATCGCTGGGGTTAGACGATGCAGAAGCCATCGGCTGGCCTTTCTTACAAGCTGTAATGTTTATGATGCACAGTAAGCTGAAGCGATCATCCAACGTAGGGAAATAAAAGCTTTTTTATGAACCTAGTTAAACTATTTATTTGAGGACATGACTGACGTACAGTTTAGCATTAAACACTCTGACGTCAGTGAAGAGACCAGTTCCATCAATGTGGTCACATGAGCTGTCCAACAAAGGACAAGAGTCTGGTGTCTTAATCCAACATGCCCCCAAATATAACTCTGAAACAATTTCTAGTCATATAATCAACATCAGGGTAAAAATCATGTGCTAATACAAAGGTACAGGAACAAAGAATTTGTTCTTCGTGGCTCTCTGTGTCTGATCCAAGAGACGAGGCCAGTTTCATTTGAGCATTAAATGTCAAGTTCTGCATGCTATCATCATCAGGGGCTGAGGCTCCTCTTTGTTTGTAACTGTGAGTTTATGTAGACTTGAAGCAGTATAAACTTACAAACTGTCTACTAGTCGTTTCTTTGACCACTACCCATGAGACATATTAGTAACTCTGGCCTATGACACTGGCAAAGAAAACTACCAGTGGGGGGAGGGTGTGAGGATAGTGGGAGCATGAACTGTTACAACCTATAATCGGATGTATCATCAAACTATCACTGGGCCTGTGACCCACTCCACTTCTCAGAACTTAACAAAAGGGGGAACCGAAGACACACCCAGATAGCCCTGCCTGTACCACAGAAAAGTGGGCATGGCCCCCTAGCACCATCAGAGAAATCTAACAGAGTAAACCAGGACACACCTCTGCAAGAGAGGAGCAGGCTGCAGGCAGCTGCCAAACACAAGCAGCCCCACAGCCCTATTCCATGGCAGGGAGGAGCGCAGCAAATTTTAAAAGGCAGTGATCCTGCTTTGGCTGTAACAAACAGACACACACCTCCCAATGTAACAGCAGCGGTTATCATCATGCAGTGGGAAGAGGGCTGATTTTATTTTTCCCATTCTTGCTGACCTGTGTTTGTTCTTTTGGACTATCTGATATAAATCTTCATTACTTCTATATAAAGAAACACACTGACATTCCTGGAAGGCCCAGCACATCACATACAGGAAGCCCACAAAAAGGAAGGTGGCACCTGCTCTTTAAAGTTGGGGTGCACGGGATGGCAGACTACCAGCGCTCTCGTCCCAGCCCAGGCACCCACGAAAGCATCACTTCTAAGGCTGTCAGGCCACAAGAAAAGCACAGGACATGTCTCTCCATGCGCTACCTGGATGCGGTTCAGCTCCACGACGGGACCGTGCTGACGATCGCGCACCATGGTTGCTTGCACTACTTTTCGGAAAGCTGCCTCCTAAAACACATCAAACAGACAAAATTTAGAATCTGATACAGAAAGCATCACTCCTGGAGAAATCATGACATAGTTTTGTTTAAGATCTGATTTGAGGAAGACCTTAAGAACAGAAAACTGCCAGCTCCCTTTTCTCAAGCTGTGAGGGTGCAGGGGACCAGGCTGGCACTGAAGCGCACAGGGACAGAAGTCAGGGCAGGCAGTGCCAATGGCCAGGCAAGAGGCAGGTCCCTCAGGAAACTACCTCCACCCACCAGCGTGCCAGAGGCTGGAAGAGCCCAGCACATGCAGGGTGCAGAACAGGGAGGGCTGGGCCTGGCGAGCACCTGCTCTGACTCAGGTCTCGAAGTCAAGATTTCCCTGCCAAACATTAAGTCCACCACTGGCAGGGACTGATGTTAAACCACTGACTGCCACACAGCAGCCACAGGGCCAGGGAGCGCCGTGGAGCCAACCAGAGGTCCTGGCTGTGAACACACTGAAAGAAATTGGGAGCGCCCAGGGAGAAGACAGCAGGGCATGGTCAAACATGAGCGCCACAGTGAGAACCCAGCCTTTCCCCAGGTGGGAGCAGGTCGGCCGTGCCCATGGGGAAAGGGTGCAGGATACAGCAAGCAGCCGTGACAATGGAAAGGGAGGAGACAGGTCAGCAGGGGTCTCAGCTCTCTTGGCCAAGTGGCCAATCGTGCCTTCTTTCAGTTAGGGGTGGGCTGTGGGAGCGCAAGGGTCCTTCAGTGGAGGCTGAGCCCTTGCCCAGTTCAAAGGCTAAGAACTCCAAGCTGCTCCAAGGCAGGAGGTGAGGGCCCTAAGCGCCAGAGGAGACCCGGAACAGGCATCCTGGAGGCACCTCAGCCCCACGCCTCTTGCACAGCCCAGACTCATCCTGCTCCCACGGGCCCTGCCTGGACCCCAGGGGAGCTCCCCCTCCACAGAAGCACTCCCCTCTCCTCCCAGTCACCAGCCCGCCCACCTTCCTGGAGAGTCCCTTTTGGTGCTCTGGACCGGGAGTAGTAACACCCACTCTCTGAGGCCGATCCTCACCACACCCAGGACCAGAACCGAGGCTGCCTGCACATTTCCTGACCAGAGGTCCCTTTCAGATGCCCTCAGCACTCCCCTGATCTTCTGCAGCCTCAACAGGTGCCAGACACTGCTGCCCACCGCTCCCCTACCACACACCAGCTCCCACCCATGCCCTGCTCACAGCCTGCACAACGCTCGTACAGGGCCAGGTGGGACGTGCCCCTCCTCTCACCATTTTTCTCCCTGCAAAGAAAGGTTTTTTACCTCTGCACTGCCTATTATCATCACAACTTTGAAGGATTAAAAAAAGAAGGCAAAATTAATTAATTGCTACTTATTATTGAATAGTAATTGAAATTACATTTCCTATCCATTTTACCTGCCTACGATTTCTTCTGCCTCTCTCATCAGAGAGATGATCTTTCCATTAAACACAAGCCTCATCACCTCCACCCTCAGGCACACATGAAAGTAAAATGAATGCCCCAGTCCCTTTCAGCAGAAATCGTTCTAGTCAAGTGGAAACAAAACCAGTCTTTAAAAAGTAACCTGCTGGGACAGGACTCCAAAACATCTCAATGTTATTAAATCACTAAGAATGGGCCATGACATCTGACAACAAAACATATCACAGAATCACAATCAGGATTAGTGTTCCTCAATCCAATTCTGAAGCTCTTCCCTACACAGAGATGCCCCTACCATAGGATCATTAGCCCCTTCGAGATCATCTTGTCAAGCTGCTTGCCAGAAACTAACCCAACCTCTAGAAAGCTCCAATTATTAGCAACATCTACAGGTCAAAAGCTGCCTGGTGACTTTCAGATGCCCTCACTCATGACTGTATTACTCACCCCTGTTAATTCTCACTTGGCCAGCAATCTCTACACATTCAGGCATGGACCTTCAAGGTAAGCTATCTGTGACTCCTGGCCCCCTCTGCTGGACATCCCGGGAGAAACAGTCCAATCGCCCGCCTTCCTGTGTCAGTGGAACTTGCCATAATGCCACAAGGCCAGGCAGGCAGAGGAGGACGGCAGGAACAAAGGCTGAGTTTATGAAGGCCCACCTCATCCTTCTGGAGCGGTGAGAGGCAGAGATTACGAAGCAGAGAAGCAGCACCATACTGTTTGTTTTTAACATAAACTCCAAAAGGGAGGAAATTTTTGTCTGTTTTCTCAGTGCTATAAAGTACCCAGAACACAGCCCGGCATGCAGGAGGCACTCCGTGAACATTTGCTGAATGAGCCGTATTCTATGTGCTCTATTCCCAGGATCGGAATTCTGCTGGGTTACAATGTACCGAAGACAACAGTTTCCCCTAGAGCAAAGACTGCCACTCGAGTACCTTTCCCTGGGATATCAGAATTCCTCGCAGGGTGTCGAACCCAACAGAAGGCCCGAGTCCAGTTTCGTCGAGCGAGCCTTCCAGGTCGAACATGGGGATGCAGGGACAGAAGAGCTCGGAGAGGTGGTGCAGCAGCAGCAGGCGGTTCCTCAGTGCGATGATGGGGATCTCCTGCAGGTGATTGTACTCCATGGGGACCTGGAACACAGAAACGGCCTTCAGCCCCTCAGGCACCAAAGGCACAGGGGGGCCACAGTGTGACACCCATTAAGGATTCTGAAAACAATTGTTTCAAAACCAGAGAAGCATTATGGTTTCTGAGTTTGCTTTACAAAACCTCACTGTGCTGCTTTTAAAATAATATTCTGTCCCATTTGACTGTAAAAAAAAAAATTGTCTATACAAATATATTTACTAAGAAGCGTGAGGCATGTACATCAGAACAGTGGTGAGGGTTATAAGATATCTTAGAAGGTGATACACACCGTACACACAGAATGTTGGCTGGCATGAATATTAAGGTTTTTTTTGAGACAGGGTCTCACTCTGTCACCCAGGCAAGAGGGCAGTGGTGCAATCACTGCAGCTTTAACCTTTCACACTCAAGCGATCCTCCCACCTCAGCCCTCAGCCTCCCAAGTAGCTGGGACTACAGGTGTACGCCACTATGCCCAGCTAATTTTGTAGAGACAGGGTTTTGCTATGTTGTCCAGGCTCGTCCCAAACTCCTGAGTTCAGGCAATCCACCCACCTCGGCCTCCCAAAGTGTTGGGATTACAGGCATGAGCCACCACAACCAGCCAAATATCGAGGCTCGTAAATACACGGTTTGGTTAACATTTACTGAGCCTGAATTACTTTCACCGAGAAGCCTCTGTAAATACACAACGACAGGATGCAGCACGTGACAGGAGCACACTTTGCTCGCCCCCGACCCACCCAGCCTGCCCGGACTCACCTGTGCTGGGAGTTTGCCAGCGCTGGCGGGCTTGCTGGTCGACCAGGCGAGGGTATGTGCTGAGCCACAGGCCACACGGTTGACCTTCTTACCCTGAAGGGCAGCTACCAACCGAGGCCTCTGGATGGCGTTGGTGGTTCCATCTCCCAGCTGTCCCTCATCATTGTCGCCCCATGTATAAACCTCACCTGAATGAAGTGCATTTAGAATCAGAACCTGTACACTAGGGCCAACAAACGCATGGCTGCCAATGTCTTCCCATCACACTGAGAACGAACGCTCCCTGCCCTTCAGCCGGGTTTTGACCTAGTTGTCAACTTTACATCTGACCTAGACGTGAATGTCTGCTTTACGTATGACCTAAATGTGAATACACGCTAACTACACATCCAAAGAGGCGAGCGTACTTCCCAGGACTCGCCACAGCCCCTGCTGGCCACCAGGCCTCTTCTAGTAAGAGGCACAGGACTCTGGTCTAAAGCCTTCAACAGTGTTAGTTCTCAGGACTAGGCATGAACGGCAGCGGTTCTCCATCGGAATAATATCAGAACAGACAGCAATATCCCGAACATCCCAAATCCATCGGAATAACATCAGAACAGACAGCAATATCCCGAACATCCCAAATCCATCGGAATAATATCGGGACAGATAGCAATATCCCGAACATCCCAAATCCATCAGAATAATGTTAGAACAGATAGCAATATCCCTAACATCCCAAATGGCTCTTGCATGTGAAACAGAAGAGGAAAAGTCTGTTTGATTTATTTTATACTTTCTTTTGAGATAGGGTCTCACTCTGTTGCCCAGGCTGGAGTAAACTGGCATGATCACGGTTCACTGCAGCCTCAACCTCCCCAGCTCAAGTGATCCTCCCACCTCATCTCTCAAAGTGTTGGGATTACAGGCATGAATCACTGTGACGAAGTCTCACTCTGTCGCCCAGGCTGGAATGCAGTGGTGTGATCTTGGCTCACCGCAATCTCCGTCTCCCGGGTTTGAGTGATTCTCCTGCCTCAGCCTCCTGAGTAGCTTACAGGAGCACACCAACATGCCCAGCTAATTTTTGTATTTTTAGTAGACATGGGGTTTCACCATGTTGCTCAGGCTGGTCTTGAACTGGTGACCTCATGATCCGCCTGCCTCGGTCTCCCAAAGTGCTGGGATCACAGGTGCGCGCCACCATGCCCCAGTCAATTTTTGTGTTTTTAGTAGAGATGGGGTTTTACCATGTTAGTCAGGCTGGTCTTGAACTCCTGACCTCGTGATCCACCTTAAAATTCCTGTTTTAAAAATCAAAACCACAATGTGATACCACCTCACTCCTGCAAGAATGGCCATAACAAAATAAATAAATAAGCAAATAATAGATGTTGGCACGGATGTGGTGAAAAGGGAACACTTACACTGCTGGTGGGAACAGAAACCAGTAACAACCCATTGAGATTTTCCCTCTAGAGGGGATAAAAACCAGAAACAAGCTATCTGTGAAAATGCGCTGTGACGGAAAGCATTTTCCATGCTCCACTGTGGAAAAGTGTGGAGATTCCTCCAAGAACTAAAAGTAGATCTACCATTTGATCCAGCAATCCCACCACTAGGTATCTACCCAGAAGAAAAGAAGTCACTATTTGAAAAAGTACTTGCACACGCATGTTTATAGCAGCACAATTTGCAGTTACGTAAACATGGAACCAGCTCCAAAGCCCATCAATCAATGAGTGGATAAGAAAATGTGGTGTATATACACCACAGAACACTACTAGCCATAAAAAGGAATGAAACGATGGCATTCACAGCAACCTGCATGGGACTGGAGACCATTATTCTAAGTAAAGTAACTCAGGAACGGAAAACCAAACCATATGTTCTCATGCTATGAGGATGCAGCGGCTTAAGAATGACACAATGGACTTTGGGGACTCGGGGGAAAGGGTAGGAGAGGAGTGAGGGATAAAAGACTACACACTGGGTACTGTGTACACTGCCTGGGCGATGGGTACACCACGTTTCAGAAATCACCTCTAAAGAACTTATTCATGTAACCAAACACCACCTGTTCCCCAAAAACTTGTTGAAATAAAAATAAATTTAAAAAATAACATACAAAAAGAACATGCAGTTTGTATTCATACCCTAAACATAAGATTCACCATTCACGAGAATCATCACACTTTTCAGTGCACCGTGTTGGACCTCAACCAAGAAACACCACCAGAAAATATTCTCAGGCAAGGTCCCTGGTGACCAGGATGGAAACAAGGCTCACGTTCTCTGGAGACACCATTAGCCTTGTCAAATCTAGCTCCTCGGGTGTCTGGAAAGTGTGATGCCTGCGTGATCAAGGGCAGTGTGCTTGTCTCCTGCCCCTGCCTGCTCCCCTGTGCTTGTCTCCTGCCCCTGCCTGCTCCCCTGTGCTTGTCTCCTGCCCCTGCCTGCTCCCCTGGCTTGTCTCCTGCCCCTGCCTCCTCCCCTGTGCTTGTCCCCTGCCCCTGTCTGCTCCCCTGTGCTTGTCTCCTGCCCCTGCCTGCTCCCCTGTGCTTGTCTCCTGCCCCTGCCTGCTCCCCTGTGCTTGTCTCCTGCCCCTGCCTCCTCCCCTGTGCTTGTCCCCTGCCCCTGTCTGCTCCCCTGTGCTTGTCTCCTGCCCCTGCCTGCTCCCCGCAGGTTGCTGCTAAAGCCACGAGGCGGGTGTCGCACACACAAGGTGAGGAGGGCGTCTCTGCAGACGCAGCCGGGCACAGGGAATGAGTCCGCGAGCATGAGGAGGGCTTCCACCCAGGTGCTAAGTCCGAGGGGGGTTAGCCAAGACCCCCACATGTGAGGGGCGGAGCCACGCACCGGAGGATGAGATGCTGGTTATGCATGGGGTCAGGGGGCCAAACTACCAGAGAGAAAGGAGCTGCAAGGTTGCCAAGAGAAAACTGGAATGAACCCTGTGGATCCGAACTGGACCTGGGGATACTGGTGGGAACTCACAGCTTTCAACACACATGCAGATCCAGGAGGAAACATCAAACATAAACCGGGGTATTGTTTACATGACCAGTCCCTGGCTTTGCCCATTGAGGAGGCCTGGGGAGCGGTGACGCCTCAATAGCAATGAGCTCACCCATCATCCAGACCTTGTCTGCTCAAGGCCATTCTCCTCCACAGACGCCAGGCTCCTTGGAGAAATAGCCAGGTCGAGGCGTGGGGCACGGCAGGACCAAGAGGCGGCTGATGTTCTTCTGCCAGAGCAGGGAAGTTCTCCCAGACAACAGGGACACACAAGGCGGCAGAGCCAGCCACACAGAGCACAACTAGAGCATCAAAACAAACAGGAAAAGACTCTATGCCCCAATGAATACATTAGGATCCATGATGAATTCATTCAAAGCTGCATAAGAAAGGAATATTTAAGTAGATTCAGCTGTCCCTACCAAATCCTTATTATAAACAATGTCCACGGTGAAAAGCACGGCAGACAGCAACGTCACCAAGCGACTGTGGTGAGCATCATCAGAAAGGAGACAAACTGCATGTCACCTGCAAGGATGAACTGTGACGATCAAAGACACGCAACCCGAACCTACGGCAGAAACACCGGAAAAAACCCAGACTGAAGAACGTGCTACAAAATAACTGGTGTCAAGTTGCCAGAGGCCCAGGAAGACTGAGGAAGTGAAAGGATGATGCCAGGCGCTGAGGGAGTGTCACAGGACAGTGAAATGATTAAAGGGTGCATGCTTATATAACTCACCAAAGGCTTTAACGGCCGGGCGCGGTGGCTCAAGCCTGTAATCCCAGCACTTTGGGAGGCTGAGGCAGACGGATCACAAGGTCAGAAGATCAAGACCATCCTGGCTAGCACGGTGAAACCCTGTCTCTACTAAAAAATACAAAAAAAACTAGCCGGGCGAGGTGGCGGCGCCTGTAGTCCCAGCTACTCGGGAGGCTGAGGCAGGAGAATGGCGTGAACCCGGGAGGCGGAGCTTGCAGTGAGCTGAGATCCGGCCACTGTACTCCAGCCTGGGCGACAGAGCGAGACTCCGTCTCAAAAAAAAAAAAAAAAAAAAAGGCTTTAACAAGTAGCACAGTTTGCGGGACGGCCATGTTAGTGAAAGATGGCGCCCACATTTTCCACCGCTGCCATAACACATCCCCACCGCCCGGCTGGCTTAAACCACACACACTTAGGATCCTTTCGCTCTGCGGGTCGGAAGTCCCGCATGGGTCTCCCTTCCCAGAGGCCCCGGGGAGAGTTTCCTTGCTCATTCAGACACGGCTCGGTTCTCTTGTGGGACTGAGGTCCAGGTTCCTTGCTGGCTGAGCTATTCTCAGCTTCCAGGGGCCACCCCATTCCCCCACCCTGCTCCTCCACGAAAGCCAGCAACAGAGGGTCGAGAGCTCTCAGACTTCGAAAATCTTTCTACTACCTCTTCAGTCACATCTCTGACTGACTCCTGTGCCTTCTTTTCTGATCAAAAGGTCTGTGTAATTACACTGGGTTCACTAAATAATCCAGAATAATCTCCATAACAAGTCAGCGGATTCACAAACTTCATTCGACCTGAAAAGTCCCTTTCGCCATCGTGTCAGGGTTCCCCGGACCAACCCCACACTCGTGATTCTCCAGCACAACTTACAAGACTCAGCATACACTCCTGCTCAGAGCTACAGCATATCATGGCAAGAGGACACACAGTAAGAGCAGCACAGGAATGGGGACCTGCGGCAAAGCAGAGGGGGACCCAGGAGCAAGCTTCCAGAGTCCTCTCCCACAAGAGCCACACAGGACAAGCTTAACTGCCCCAGCACTGAGCTGTGTCAAGTGCCGTCTTCTGGGAAGCTGGGTAGAGACTCCAGGCCCAGGGTTTCCATCGGGGCTGATCACACAGGCACCCCCTTCCTGGCGTGTAACAAGTTCCAGACCAAGGAAAGCAGGTTTCAGCACAAACCACATCACTTGTACAGACAGTTCAGGCACAGTGAACCACACTTACCACCTAGGGAACAGGGTAGTCTTCCCAAAACCCAGGTTCCCAGACACCAGCAATGGGCCAAGCCTGCAGCAGGTCTGTCTAAGGACATGTCTCAGGCTGGCTGCTAGCTCTGTTCTGCACAGCCCAGTAATAAGTAATAAGTAGAACTCTTTCACAGGTTTAACAGCAGGGGCTGAAAATCACAGGGCCAAAGCCCTGCTGACTGCAGATAAGACTCTCAGGACATGGTATAAGTCCCAGCCTTTGCCTCCTTTTTTTTTTTTTGAGACAGAGTCTTGCTCTGTTGCCAGGCTAGAGTGCAATGGCACGACCTTGGCTCACTGCAACCTCCACCTCCCGGGTTCAAGCAATTCTCCTGCCTCAGCCTCTTGAGTAGCTGAGATTACAGGCACGCACCACTACGCCCAGCTAATTTTTGTATTTTTAGTAGAGACGGAGTTTCACCCTGTAGGCCAGGCTGGTCTCGATCTCTTGACCTCGTGATCCGCCCGCCTCAGCCTCCCAAAGTGCTGGGATGACAGGTCTGTGCCCCCTTTTAAGGCTGTGCATGTCATTTATGCTCAAGCAACCCTCTTAGATTCACCGGCCTCAGTCCTGCGGCGCCGAGCCCCCACCTACCGTCCTCTGTGCAGCACACACAGTGCAGGGAGCCAGTGGCAATGGCGATGACTTTCTTTCCCTGCAACCCTTGGACCTGCCGAGGCCTTCGAACATGGTCATCCGATCCATGGCCCAACCTGTGATAATCGCCTTTGCCCCTGCACATGAAGGAAGCATAGAAATTATGGAGCAAGGTCATCTCATTGACCACCCTGCCCAGCCTCCTAGGCAGCCTCTGCTCTTCAGGACACAGCCATAGCCTGCTGCAGAAGGTACATTCCCATCCACGAAAAGGTAGTGAGCACACCCCAATTAAAATCTGGTTTTAGTGGGTTTAAACAGAATTTTGCATACCAGGTATAAACAGCTCCAGATTTGGTAAGGGCAACAGAAAACTGGGATCCGCATTCCACTTTAACTACTCCAAGACCGGTAAGAGAATCAATCTAGAAGGGGAAAAAGTTCAATTAGACAGACAGCATCAAGGCGCCTGCAGACTGCTATAACCACACTGAGATTTAACTAAATCTAGTAGGAATTCTGAAAACTTGTATCTATGATGAATAATTAGTGCAACTGAAAATCATATTCCACTTAATCTGAGCACTCCCAGAAAGCAGGGGGGACCGTGACTGACAATGGCCCAGCGGGACCCAGCACATGGCACTGGAAGGGGAAGCTCTGCAGGTGAGGCCTGCAAGCCTCTCCCCGGAATGGCCTCCCCCAGCCGTGCTTCTCTGTGCAGCAGCACCATAATCCAGCAGTCCCTGTGTCTCTCCTCACCTGTCCCAGCCCTCTCAGACCAGAGGCCCGCCGGGAAGGAGCAGCAGGCAAGGGGAGGGATGGCCAAGAGCAGTGGGCCCCACCCATCCTCCACACTGCACACTTGCCAGTCAACAGTTTTCCTTATCCTGCAAGCTGCTCCTCATGACCTCAGCGATTGCTCTCATATGTAAGTTCTCATATTCAATTCTAAACTCAAATTAATTAAAACTGACTTCATTCTCTTAATGAGCTCTCCCCTGGTGTCTGGCCCTACCACAATGGCCTCAGGACGTCCTGCTCCAGCCCCTCTGATGCCTAGCATCCTCACCCTTGAAAGTGCAAAGCCCAGGCTCTTTCCTGCAAGAAGGGGCCTCTGACGCACGCCACTGGTGAGGGTCTGCCCCAGAGGCACCTGTGCCACACCTGCAACCCCACAGCCCCACGAGAGAGGAGGCTGGGCAGAGACAGGTTCACAGCGCCAGGCTCCCAAGTATCCAGCAGAGCGCCTGGGCTACACGGCAGTGTGGTGCACACACTGATGTCACTGAGCAACATGTGCAGGACCTGAACCACACACCAGCCACCCGTTCATAAGAACAAAAGACATTCTGGCAAAGCTAAAACATCACCTGGAGCCACGAGGCTTGTGTGGAGCAGAGCGGGCGCTGGTGCAGGCCCTACTCCCGTTCCTCACAGGACACCCACCTGAGGTGGCCCTGGCTAACCCAGATGCAGTCCCTTTAGCAAGCACGGGCACCCCCCAGGCATGAGCCGTGGCAACTTCACACCACTATGAACTAAGAGAGTGTGAGCCTACATGCTAAATAAACCGGGGGGCTCCACGGTGCCCGGATGATCCCATCCACTTCTCAAAAGAACGCACACAGCACATAAAACACCTTATTCCCTCTAGGCCCTCCACACACTTTCTAGCCAATTACCCACTCTATTTACTGGAAAGAAGGTAAAGAGGAGGTTAAAGTGCTCACAGAGGGTCAGTAATGGAGGCTCTGAGGCCATGTTTTCCCAGAGGGCCCCTGGGGACCCCTGACTGGGGTGAGCTGGGAGAGCACTGGGCAGGGCAAGAATGGGAAGTACCTTCATTGGCACTTTACAGCCATCGCTGCCTCCTCGGCCAAGCTTGCCGTAGTCCCCGTCCCCCCAGGACCAGACAGTGTCGTCGTCCGTGAGGCAGAGGGTCTGGGCGTCTCCGCTGCCACAGGCGATGTCTACCACACGGTGGCCCTGCAGCGCCTCCACCTTCAGAGAAAAGGGACTTCGGTTGGCCGAGCACAACACAAGAAGGCTTGCCACAGGAGTGGCTTCATAACACTGCCATTCTTTTTTTATGGGGGTACCTGTTTTAAGCCTTTACAGAGATGATTTCTAAAATCCTATAAGACAAAAGAGAAAGCACCTTCATCTGTTTGAACTACACGCATCTAAACGATAGGAGAAGGTATTAGTGTCTTTGATGAGCCAACCCTACATCACCATGAAGGCTGTTTATTCACTTCTGGCACCCAAAAATACAGTGGGCCTTCTCGAAGCCAAAGCATTTTTCTAGACGCCAAGCAATATTTACCACTACAAAGAAAAGGATGTTTAAATGACTCATGGAAGAAATATGTACCAAGATGGTTTTTATTTCCACCAGAAAGAACTTCTACTTGTAAATGGGGCTATGATCAACAACCCTAAAACCAAAAAAATCTAGAACAGCAAATACTTTGGAATTTTAAAATCATAGCGACGGTGGCAAACCGCCCCCATCTGACAGCAGCAGCGAGGAGCGTGCAGCCCCCGGCCCCCGCACACGGCGCCTCCTCACCAGCTTCGGCTTCAGCTGGTCCTCGCTGTCGCTGTGCCCCAGTCGGCCGTAGCGGCCTTTGCCCCACGTGTAGAGGTCCCCGGCTGCTGTGACACAGGCACTGTGGGCTCCACCAGCAGCAACATCGACCACTTCAATTCCTCTCAGAGACTCAATGACACGAGGGCGGTCACACGGACTGCAAAAAAGTCACCAAATAGAACGGAAATACATTTTTCTTCTTAAATATTTTTCAGCGTGTTAAATACCTCTCAATCTACACCTTCCTAATCAGTTAATTGCTAAATCAATCAAGAAGAATCATTCAGACCTGAACTCAAAAGGTCACCACGTCCGACCTCCTTCCAGTACAAGGCCAGAGGGCAGGGCTTCCCCAGTTCTGACTCAGAGGCTGGAAAGTGACCACACATACCGGGCCAAGTTCGAAGCACAGCCCATTTTTCAAAGGTCTATGAGCTGAGAACAGGTTTTACGTTTTAAAGGGTTTAAAAAAAAAAAAAAAAAAGAATCATATGCAACTCCTAAAATAGTCACCATCTGGCCCTACAAGGAAAGTTTGCACTTCACCCCCACTACGAATTAACAATTCATTAAGGAGTTTTAACATATGCATGTCACTAGTCTGTAACACAGTGACTACTGATAACAAACTTTTTCTTTTCTTATTAACTTTTGAAAGAAGCTCTTTATATATTGTGGCTATCAGACCTTAGTCAGATTATATGATTGTGAATATCCTTCGCCAGCTCATGGCTTCAGTCTCTTCACAGTGTCTTTCAAAGAACAGTTCGTAATTTTTATAAAGTCCAAGTTATATCTTCCTTTCATGAATCATGCTTTTGGAGTTCAATCTAAAAATCTTCTCTGACCTAAAGTCACAAAAATTTTCTCATGTTTTCTTCTAGAGCTTTTTAGTTTTACGTTTTACATTCACAACTTTGGTTCATTTTGAATTAATGTTGGGATATAGTGTAAAGTACGAATTTAAGTTCATTTCTTGGCTAACCAATTATTCAAAACCACTTGTTGAAAAGAGTGTATTTTCTCCAATGAATTGGCCGTGCACTCTTATAAACTGCACACTAGAAATTGTGAGAAGTCCAGTTTCATTTTTCCACACTCGTCTTGTCAGTACTGCCTGCCAGTTTCTGGATTCTCTCTTCTGCTCCACTGATGTATCTGCCTCTCTCTTTACGCCAGCACCAAACCACATTGTTTACTGCAGTTATAAAATGAGGCTTAAGTCAGGTAGTGCAAGTCTTCCGACCTTTTCCTCGTTTTCAGAGTTGATTGGACTATTCTAGGCCATTTGCATCTCCATACGTTTTATGTTTGGCTTATCGATTTATATAGAAAGCTTGATTGAGAAGGTGTTGAATCTACAGATTTGAGGATAACCAGCAAATTAACAATACGGACTCTTCTGCTCCATGAACACAGCATGCCCCCTCATGACTTTAGGTCTTTCAAAAATCAGCTGAGCAATACTTCGTAGTCCTCTGTCTACAGGTCATTCACATTTTGGGGTCAGATTTATCCCTTAGTTTTTCAATTCTGGGAAGAGGGTAAATGGTATTTTAAAATTTCACTTTCTGGTTACATATATGTAGATGTATAGACATATAAGAAACTTTTATTTATTGATCTTCTATCCCTCAACACTGCTAGCCTCACTTAACAGTTCTAGTAGCTTTTGTAAACACCATCAAGTTCTCTGCATAAACAATGTTTTCTGCAAAAAAGACAGTTTTAATTCTCTTTTCAATCTAGATGCCTTTTATTTCTTTGCACTGCTGTACTGCACTTACTTAACCTGCTGTACAATGTTGAAGAGAAGTGGTGATAGCAGACATCCTTGCCTTGATCCTGAACTCGGGGAAAGCTTTCCATCTGTTGCCATTAACTACAATCTAAGCTCTAGGTTAACAGAGATGCCCTTTATCAGGTAAAGGAAGAGATCTTTTACTCCTAGACTACTCAGAGATTTTACAGAAATGGATGTTGGAGTTTGCCAAATTACTTTTTTCCTCCTCTTTATTAAGATGATCATATAGTTTTCTTTTTTACATTGATTGATTTTTCTAATGTTAAACCAAACTTGTGATTTCTGGCAAAAATATCTCACTTGGCCACACTATGTATTACTTAATTCAACATTAAAAACTTTTACATCTACGTTCATGAAGGATATTGGTCTGTATTTTCCTAGGAATGGCTGAGTCTGACTTTGATATGAGTAAAGCTATCCTCAGAAAAACGAGTTGAGAATTCCCTCTGCCAATTTTCTGAAAAAGTTTATGAAGAATTGTTATCTGTTAGCTACATGTCTGTTAGAAATCACCAGTCATCCGGTCCCAGACATTTGTTTGCAGGAAATTCAATTTCTTAGACACAAGTCATCTATTTCTTCTTGAGTGAGCTGTGAAGAGTATGTGTCCTTTGAGGAACTTGTCTATTTCATCTAAAAAATCAAATTTCTTAGCATTAAGTTGTACATTATGCTTAATTATTTTTTAATATCTGTATACCCGGGGTGAGGAAAACTTCTTTATTCCTAATATTTCTTTTTTTTTTGGAGACGGAGTCTCGCTCTATCGCCCAGGCTGGAGTGCAGTGGCCGGATCTCAGCTCACTGCAAGCTCCGCCTCCCAGGTTTACGCCATTCTCCTGCCTCAGCCTCCCGAGTAGCTGGGACTACAGGCGCCCGCCACCTCGCCCGGCTAGTTTTTTTGCATTTTCTAGTAGAGACGGGGTTTCACCGTGTTAGCCAGGATGGTCTCGATCTCCTGACCTCGTGATCCGCCCGTCTCGGCCTCCCAAAGTGCTGGGATTACAGGCTTGAGCCAACGCGCCCGGCCTATTCCTAATATTTCTAAAATTTGTAATCTCCTTTTTTCTTGATGAGTCTAGACAGAGATTTTAACAATTATATTGATCTTCTCAAAGAACTGGTTTTTGTTTCCTTTATCTCTATTGTTTTTCCATTTTCTATGTTATGGATTCTGCTCTGCTGTTTCTTACTCCTTCTCTTTCTTGTGTTTACTTTGGATTGTATCCATCCTTATTGTCCTTTTCTAAGATGGATACTAAGGTCATAGTTCTGAGACCATTTTTCTTTTTTAAAATAGGCATTTCATGCAATAAATTTCCTTCTAAGTTCTGCTTTTGCTGGATCCCACACATTTTGGCACACTGTTTTCATTTTCACTCTTCAAAATTATTTGTAATTTACTTTCTGATTCATTCTTTGATCCATTAGTTATTTAGAAATGTTTTACTTTCAAAATACTGGAGGTTTTCCAGGAATCTGTTATTAATTTCTAATTTAATTTCCCTGCGGACAGAGAACATATTGTACATAACTTGAATCTTTCTGAGGTGTAAGATTTGTTTTATGGCCCAAATCATGATCTATATTGGTAGGTATTCCTCATGCACTTGAAAAGAATGTAGTTTGTCCAGTAAAGTGTTCTAAAAAATGTCAGTTAGGTCAGGTTAGTTGATACAGCTGTTCAAATCTTCTATCCATCTTTTTTATGTACTTCTTCCATCAATTATTGAAGAAGGGGTATTCGAATCTCTAGTTACAACTGTGGATTTGTCTATTTCTCCATGCAGTTTTATTTTAATTTCATGTATCCGGAAGATCTACTCTGAAGGGTGCAAAGGTTTAAGATATTATGTCCTCTTGATGAACTATCCACTGCATCATCTGGATACTATTCTTTCTGTCCCTGTCAATATTGTTTGCTATGAATTCTACTTTGTATGACATTAACACAGGCATTCCAGCTTTCTTTTGATGTACATTAGCATGGTATGTATCTCCCTGTCCTTTCGCTTTTAGCCTATTTATGTGTCTGTATTTAAAGTGGGACCCCTGAAGGCAGCGTATGGTTTGATCTTGCTCTTATATCCATTCTAACAACTTCTGACTTTTAACTGGGCTGTTTGAATCATTTACAGTTGATGTGATTAACATATTTGGCAGCTGGGGTGCAGCGGCTCACACCTATAATTCCAGTGCTTTGGGAGACCGAGACAGGAGGACTGCTTGAGGCCAGGAGTTTGAGACCAGCCTGGGCAACAAAGCAAGACCTCACCTCTACAAAAAATAAAAATAAATTAGCTGGGCGTGGCAGCACGAACCTGTAGTCCTAGCTACTCAAGAGGCTGAGACAGGAGGATTGCTTGAGACCAGGAATTCAAGGCTGCAGTGAGTCATGATCATGCCACTGCACTCCAGCCTGGGTGACAAAAGAAGACCCCAGCTCTAAAAAAAATGTGTGTGCGTCTTAGGTTTAAATCTGTATCTTGCTTATTTATCTGTTCTTTGTTGCCATTTTCCTCTTGCTTTCTTTTAGATGAACTGATTATGTTTTACGACTTCACTTCAACTTCTTTGTTGGTTCATCAGATAAAAACTCCTGTGTTATTTCAGTGATTGCTTTGGGGGTGTGTAGGTTACATCTCTAACTTATCACAGTCTACTCTGAAGTCCTATACTGCCGCTGTGTAAGAACTCCCCAAGTCTACTTCCACTTCCTCCCCCCGGCTTTGTGTTACAATTAACTTCTGTGTAGGTTTTAAACACCTTAACTTATTTGTATTATGTGCCTGACATACTCAATTATCTCTTTCAAAGATCTGTATGGTAAGGAAAAACGTCATGACATTAACGTTTCTTCATTCCTTTGATAGATTCATGATTCTATCTGGTATAACCTTCCTTCTATTTAAAGAAATTCATTTAAGGTTTTGGTTGTGCAGGTCTGTGGTTCTTTCAGTTTTTGTTTATGTAAACAACTCTATTTCGGCCGGGCGCGGTGGCTCATGCCTGTAATCCCAGCACTTTGGGAGGCCGAGATGGGTGGATCACGAGGTCCGGAGATCGAGACCATCCCGGCTAACACAGTGAAACCCCGTCTCTACTAAAAATATAAAAAAAATTAGCCGGGCGTGGTGGCGGCGCCTGTAGTCCCAGCTACTCGGGAGGCTGAGGCAGGAGAATGGCGTGAACCCGGGAGGCGGAGCTTGCAGTGAGCTGAGATCAGGCCACTGCAATCCAGCCTGGGTGCCAGAGCAAGACTCTGTCTCAAAAAAAAAAAAAAAAAAACTCTATTTCAACTTCATTCTTGAAAAAATATTTCTGCTGAGTAAAAAAAAAAAAAAAAAATACGTTGGCAATAATTTTTACTTACAGAAAACCCACTGTCTTCTAGCTTGCATGATTCCTCAGAGACATCTGCAGCTAGGCTTATCTTTCCTCTTGTAACTTGTTTGGTCACCCCCACCCCGGCCCATCCTCACCCCAGCTGCTTTTAAAACATTTTTCTCTTTATCTCTGGTCTTGATCCATTCACCTTGGTGTAGTTTTCTTCATGTTTCTTTTGCTTAGGGTTCTTTAAACATCTTGCATCAGTGGATTTATCGTTTTCAACAAATTTGGAAATTTTTTAGCCATTATTTCTTCAAAACGCTGCATGTTCCCCTCCTTTGGTGGCTCTCATTATGCATATATTAGGACATCTGAGGTTGTCCTACAGTTCATCTCTCTGATGTTCTGTTCATTTGTACAGTCTTCTTTCTGTTTCACTCTGGATAGTTCATTTCATTATGTCTTCAAGTTCACTGATCTTTTTTTCCTGTAATGTCTAATCTGCCATTAATCCCATCCAATGTATTTTTCATCTTTAGAACTTTGATTTGGGCATTTAAGTATCTTCCAGGCTTTATCTAACACATTCAAGTTCTCTTCTAGCTTCCTGAAGATATGGTATATGGTTAAAATAACTATTTTAATAAAGTTCTTATCTAGTAATTCTACCACTGATACCATTTCTGAGTCAGTTTCAACTGATGACTTTTCTCCTCACGTAAGCTGTATTTTCCTGCTCCCCTGCATGGTTGGTAATTTTTTATTGGAGGCAGGAAATTGTGAAATTTACCTTATTGGGTGCTTCATGTTTGTATTCATAAAAATATTCTTGAGCTTTGATCTCTGTGATAAGTTACTTATAAGTAGTTTAATCCTTTCAGGTCTTGCTTTTAAGCTTTGTTGGTGGGATGATAGCAACAATTCGTCTGTGGCTAATTTTTCACCAATACTGGGTAACATCATTCTCAGTACTTTAATCATTGCCCTGTAAACTGTGAGGTTTGGGGATCTAGCTCTGTCTCCCTGCCATGTGAGCTCTGGGGACTATTCTTTCTCATCCTTTGGGCGGTCTGTTCTTCAACCTCCCAGCTGTGAGTGCTGTATTAGGCTCTGCAGGTCTCCGCAGTCCTCTCTGTGCAGCTCTCTCCACTCTAGCACTCTGCAGACTCTGTATATCTTGGCCGCCCTGGACTTCCAGTTCTATCTCCTCTATACTAAGGGAGTCTGCCAGAATCTGCCTGGTGTTCTCTTTCCTGTGTCACAGCCTGGAAACTTTCTACAGGAAGTGCATTGGGCAATTTTTAGAACTTGCCTTGTTTTTTACTTTTCATTTAAAAAACATTTTAATTTTTAATTTTTGTGGGTACATAGATGTATATATTTACAGGGTATATGAAATATTTTGATTCAGGCATACAGTGTGTAATAATCATATCAGATGATTATTATAAATAATATCATGATTAAAATCATATCAGATGATTATTATAAATAATGATAAATGGGTTATCCATCACCTCAAGCATTTATCCTTTCCTGTGTCACAAACAATCCAATTATAATTTAGTTACTTTAAAACTTACAACAAGTTATTGTTGCCTATAGTCACCTGTTGTGGTATCATACTTGATCTTATTCATTCTACCTAACTATATTTTTGTACCATTAACCATCATCCCTGAGAATTCTCCTTGTTTCCCATGATTCAGAGAACACTGTATTTTGTTGCCTGATATTCAATGTCTTTGGGACTGTTGTTTATTTTATTTTTTAAGACAGGATCTCACTCTGTCACCCAGGCTGCAATGCAGTGGCACAATCTCAGCTCACTGTAACCTCCACCTCCCAAGTAGCTGGGACTATAAGTGTGCACCACACATCTGGCTAATTTTTTTTCTATTTTTCGTAGAAATGGGGTTTTGTCATGTTGCCTAGGCTGGTCTTGAACTCCTGAGTTCAAGCAACCTGCCTACCTCAGCTTCCCAAAGTGCTGGGATAACAGGCGTGAGCCACCACACCGGACCAGTTTAATATATTTTATATGGTGTTTTAGTTATTCCTAGGATAGGAAAGCCCCTGTTACTGCAATCTGTTTGGTAGTTCTCATTAATTTTTTAATACTTGTGAGTTTGGTTCGTTTGTTTAAAAAATGGTGTCAATGCTGTGTGCTTTCTTCCTCACTCCTGCCATTTTCTCTGTATGTGCAGTTCTAGTACCACACGTTACACAAAATGCCAAACGTGATTCAGTAGATGATTTAAGGGAGAAGGATAAAAAAACCACTGACTTAGGACTTGTCAAAAACTCAGAATTGACTTTTCCTCTCCACAGAGGAGTCATATGGGTAAGCCTTCATACTGGAACGTAACACTATTTCTGCCAAATGAGTCATTCACATTATTTAGTTTGAGCAAATTGCTGTAAATGTTACCTTGGAAAACAAAGAGCCAATAAACTGCAGCAGCATCAAGACAAACAAACAAAGACAAATAAAAGGTTGAAACAATGTCTTCACATCATACCTTCTGTTGCCATGCCCCAGCTTCCCATCTTCTGCCTCACCCCAAGAGTAAACTTCTCCTTCTGAAGACAGGGCAAGGCAGTGCTTTCCTCCTGAGTTCACAGCTACTTTCTTAATAAACACATGCTGAATGGATTCAAGCAATGTTGGGGTAGACACCGATTCTGTCCCTCCAATGCCTAGTCTGCCACCTGCACCATACCCAGTAGCATACAGCTAAGAGAAGAAAAAGCAACATCAGTTTCCAATCTCAATATCCCCCAAATTTAGTAATTCATAAATCCATGCTTTAGACATTTTTATCACATAGAAATAAAATTTAAAGTTAAAAATCTCAGGAATGTAAGTTTATGAGTTTATACGTGCTCTACCAAAGTTCTAGAAATGAAATAAAAACATGACTATTAGAAATTCCAAATTCAAAAAACATATTGTGAAAATAAGGTCTTCTCCCTGGAAACTCTTCCATTTTTGTGTAGAATAACAACTACAATTAACACCAAGAAAAGCAAAAAACAATTTAATTACCTACTATATGCAAATCTCTGACAATAACAGCCACAAAAACATATCCATAAAAGAACACAAACACATTTTAGTATTTCAGCAGGGCAGCATATAAACCACACGGGAAAAAAAGTCTTTTCTTTTTTTTTAAATCTAAGTGGGAATGTTTTAGGACACAAAACATCTATGATTAATTTTAAAAAACATGATTAATGTAAAAACACATACACATGCAATCAGACTGCCGTTTTCCAAATGAAGGCAAACATCCCTCCTGATAAAAACTTAAATGCTGTTCCATGCTGTTTCAGACACCTTTCGAACGTGCTGCTGCACTGACATAATAGTAAGGAAGCCACAAGGGCCAACGCAGGAAGTGAAACCCAAACTCAGGTGGATAAACAACCTCCGCCCCCAAAGCCAGCTTCGGTGGGGAGGGTGTAAGGCTCTCGGGTGCACAGTAATGCGGCGCGCCTCCAAGGACTTCCTGCAGAAAGTGGGGCTCCAAAGGGTTGCCCCTCAGTGACTGCGAATAAGAAATAAGAACAACAGAGAAAGCTGCCCTTCTCAGCCTCAGCTCTGACAGGGAGACAGAGGCTTGCCCCTGAGAATTCATAACTACTGGCAAATTATAGCCCATGGGCCACATGAGGCCCATCATTTCTTTCTGTAAATGAAGTTTTACTGGAACACAGCCACACCCACTCATTTATAGTATGTCCAGGGCTGCTTTTGAAGTTGCAACAGAGACCACATGACCCAAAGCTGAAAACACTATTGTACCCTTTACAGAAAGTCCTTACCAACCCCTACCCTACAAAAAGGACAAAATAAAGATATTTTGAAACAAACAATCAGAATTAACCAACAAAATAATTTCACTGAAGTAAACTGAAAAAGATATGATAAAGGAGAAGGAAATTATTTTGTAAGATCTGAGACATAACAAATGATGGTAAGAAATGACAGTAAGCAAAGATGTGCAACATTTGGCTAACTGTAAAAAAACTACGGTCCATATAAAACAACCAAAACAACAACAATAATGTCTATGGCGGAGGGAATAGGTTAGAACCCAAACACTGGGTAACAAGGGGTCACTGATTGGGAGAAGGGGAGAAATACTAATTAACTTTAGGTTTTTAACTACATATGTTAAAATAACCAGAGAAGCAACGAAAAGAAACAGAATTCTCCTGAGAATTGACAAAGAGGAACTATATTTCAAACCTTTTTGTGAGGCTAGACCACGTCGACACCTGTGCTAGCAGTCTGCCTCTGACACGGTTCACAGTGATCCCTGCTTCCAAATATGCGCGCTCCTGTGTACAGGCACACCCCATTTGACTGTGCCTCGCTTTACTGTACCTCCAGATCCCGTTGTTTACAAACCGAAGGTCTGTGGCAACCCTACACTGATCAAGTCTCTCGGCGCCATTCTTCCACCAGCACTTGCTGACTTACTGTCTCTATGTCATGTTTTGAAAATTCTTGCAATATTTTAAACTTTTTCATTATTATTTTATCTGTTATGATGATCTGTGATCACTAATGTTTGATGTTACCGTTGTACTTGTTTTGAGGCACCACAAACCACACCCATAGAAGACAGTGAACTTAAACGGTGAATGTTGTGTATGTTCTGACTGTTTCGCCAACAGCTGTTCTCCCACCCCCCCTCTCCTCAGACCTCTCCCTCTCCTCAGACCTCCTCTCCCCTCAGACCTCCCCTCCCCTCAGACCTCCCCTCTCCCCAGACCTCTCCCTCTCCTCAGACCTCCCCTCTCCTCAAACCTCTCCTCTCCTCAGACCTCCCTATTGTGTCCCTGAGACCCAACTTATGTAGAAATTAGGCCACTTAATAACCCTACAGTGGCCTCTAAGAGTTCAAGTGAAAGGAAAAGTTGCATATTTCTCATTTAAGTCAAAAGCCAGAAATGATTAAGATCAGTGAGGAAGGCACGTTGAAAGCCAAGACAGGCTATAAGCTGGGCCTCTCGCGCCAGTTACCCAATAAGAAGTACTTGAAGTACAATTAACACACAAATGATTAGAATGCAAAACAGTCTTATTGCAGATATAGAGAATGTTTGACTGGCATAGACAGAAGATCAAAACAGACACAACATTCCCTTAAGCCAAAGCCTAATCCAGCCTAACTCTCCTCAATTCCACGAAGGCTAAGAGAGGTGAGATGGCTGCAGAAAGAAAGTCTGAAGGTAGCTGAGATTGGTTCCTAAGTTTAATGAAAGACGCCATCTGCATAACATAAAAGTGCAAGGTAAAGTAGCAAGTGCTGATGTAGAAGCTGCAGCAAGTTACCCAGAAGATCTAGCCAAGATCAGTGATGAAGGTGGCCACACTAAGTAGCAGGCTTTCAGCGTAGATGGAACCGTCTATCAGAAGCAGACACCATCTAGGACGTTCATAGCTACAGAGAAGTCAATGTTTGCCGTCAAAGCTTCAAATCTTTTGTTAGGGGCTAATGCGGCTGGTCTGTATTAGCTGAATTTGTTGAAGTCAATGCTCATTGACCATTCTGAAAATCTTAGCGCCCTTAAGAATTATGTTAACTCCTCTCTGACTGTGCTCCAGAAACAGAACAAAACCTGGAGTCAGCACATTTGTTTACAGCATGGTTCACTGACTATTTTAGGCCCACTACTGAGGCCTACTGCTCAGAAAAAAAGATTTCTTTCAAACTATTACTGCTCATTGACAATGTACCTGGTCACCCAAGAGCTCTGATGAACATGTACAAAGAGACTAAAATTGTTTTCATGCCTGCTAACACATCATCTTTTCTGCAGCCACATGGATCAAGGAGTAATTTCAACTTTCAAATCTTGTTATTTAAAAAATACATTCCATAAGGCTATAGCTGCTATAGACAGTGATTCCTCTAATGGATGTGGACAAACTAAATTGAAAACCTTCTGGAAAGCCATCACCATTATAAATGCCAGTAAGAACATTTGTGATTCATGGGAGGAGGTGAAAATATCAGCATTAACAGGGAATTGGAAGAAGCGGATTCCAACTCTCATGGATGATCTTGAGGGGTCCAAGACAAGTGGAATAAGTGACCTCAGATGTGGTGGAAACAGCAAGAGAACTAGAATTAGAAGTGGAGTCTGAAGACGTGACTTAACAGACTATAATATACACAGACTTTTATATCCACTAGGAAACCAAGAAATGTGTGTGACTTGCTTTGTGAAGACACTTGCTTTATTGTGTTGGTTTAGAAACAAGCCTGCATACCTCCAAGTATGCCTACAGCTCCCTCTCCCTGAGTGTGAGCTGGACTTAATGACCTGCTCCTGATGTACAGAACAGGGCAAGAATGATGGAGTGCCACCTCTGTGATACAGTTACACAGGACTGTGACTCTGTCTCGCTCCACTCTCTCTCGCTGGTGCTCCCTCCCCTGCGCCTCCCTTGCCCTTGCTGCCAGAAGCTGCCACGCTGTGAGACCCTCTATGGACACATGGCAACAGACTGAGTGAGGGGAGGCTCTGCCAGTAGCTCATGAGGGCCTGAAGCCTCAGCCCAAAGGTCCACAAGGGACTGAATCCTTGCTCGGACTCGGACAGCCTCAAGACGACTGCAGCCTGCTGAGATTCTGAGCTGGAGGATGGAGTTATGCTGCCTCCAGAGTCCTGACCCAGAGAAACTATGCAATGATAAATGTGTGTGAGACAGAACATTACATGAGAGTATCTCACTCATGAATAGGATCTCCCAAAAATCTAAACAAAACAATCACAAACACAAGCCAGATACAGATCCTGACCAAACTGGATTTATCCAAAAAATGCAAGTTTCTTTAATATGAGAAAACCAATTAATCCAACTGACTATACTAACCCATTAGAAAAAACATCGGCCAGGAGTGGTGGTTCACGCCTGTAATCCCAGCACTTTGGGAGGCCGAGGTGGTAAAATCACAAGGTCAGGAGTTCAAGACCAGCCTGGCCAACATGGTGAAACCCCGTTTCTACTAAAAATACAAAAAAAAAAAAGTTAGCCAGGCGTAGTGGTAGGCGCCTGTTGTCCCAGCTACTTGGGAGGCTGAGGGAGGAGAATTGCTTGAACCCAGGAGGCGGAGGTTGCAGTGAGTTGAGACTGTGCCACTGCACTCCAGCCTGGGTGACAGTAAGATTCTGTCTCCAAAAAAAAAAAAAAGAAAAGAAAACATCTATGAAAGAACATTTCAAAACACATAGAAAGAGTGCTGAACAGAAATCAGTGTCCACTGATGAACAGAAACAGAAGGAAACATGCCTATCCTGATGAAGGGCTTCTACTCAAACCCCACTGGAAGCCTGGGAACGCTCCATCTGCGCCCACTCCAGTCTGGATCAAGGCAGGAGCCTCCGCCCACTCCTACCCAGCATCACACCGCAACCCCAGCCCGCACCATGAGCTCTCTTTCTCCCACACAAACGGGAAAAACAAACGAGAGGTACGCTAGAAAGAAAGGGACACAATTCACTTAGAGACTACGGCACTCTACAAAGAAGATACAAGAAATCTTCAGATAAACTCAAATGGTGAGAGTCAAGTAGGTCACCAAACATAAAGTCAATATATAAACATCCAATATTTCTATATATCAGTGGCAATCTTTTATTTTGGGGGGGGGGCAGGGGGTGCAGTAGACGGAGTCTCGCTCTGTCGCCAAGGCTGGAATGCAGTGGCATGATCTCAGCTCACTGCAACCTCTGCTTTCCATGTTCCAGTGATTCTCCTGCCTCAGCCTCCCGAGTAGCTGGGCTTACAGGCACATGTCACCGAGCCGGGCTTATTTTTGTATTTTTAGTAGAGACAGGGTTTTCCCCTTGTTGGCCAGGCTGGTCTCGAACTCCTGACATTAGGTGATCCACCTGCCTTGGGCTCCCAAAGTGCTGGGATTACAGGCGTGAGCCACTGCACCAGGCCAGCAGCAATAAATTTTTAAAAGATAGTATTTACAATAGCAAACAAGAAACACATCTAATGAGTGATACACAAACAAAAATTGTAATACTTTTGTATACATGACATATTTTCAAAACTAAAAAAAAAAATGGCCAGGTGTGGTGGCTCTCACGCCTGTAATCCCAGCACTTTGGGAGGCCAAGGTGGGTGGATCATCTGAGCTCAGGAGTTCGAGACCAGCCTGGTGAACATGGTGAAATCCTGTCTCTACTAAAAATACAAAAGTTAGCCAGGAGTGGTAGCGGGCACCTGTAATCCCAGCTATTTGGGAGGCTGAGGCAGGAGAATTGCTGGAACCCGGGAGGCGGAGGTTGCAGTGAGACAAGACCGTATCATTGCACTCCAGCCTAGACAACAAGAGCAAAACTCTGTCTCAAAAAAAATTTTTTTTAATTTAAAGATTATACAAAAGTATCTTAAACTCTCGCTGCTTCCTGCATACCACAGTACTATTAATCCTGAGTACAGATCCTTGCATGTGCTAAGAACCACACACACCTTTAGCCACAACTATCTCAGGCTCAATGACTCTGTGACACAGAAAAAGCGCCCTTACCTTCCCATCAGCCGTCACAGCAAACAGGGTCTGCTCCCCTCCGATTAACTGCACGGGTCTGAGAGTTGCAAGGGCTTCACAGGGAGTGGGAACTTTGACTTTTGCACCTTCAATGCCCCCGAGCTGGCCCCTATGATTATGTCCCCATCCATAAATTGTTCCACTGCCACCAGCAGAGAGAGTCCAGTCATCTGGTCGCCTGTAACAAACATCAAGTGAGCATTTGCCATGGGAAAGAACAACGCACACGGCCTCTCGCGCTCTCGATCGACATTACTGCTTGTTTCTAACAGAACAACCTGTTCATCCACTGCACAAGCTGCTCATCTTGCTCTCTTTTAAAAACGTCGTGGCTCTCATGCAGAACATCCATGTTTTCGCTGTCTGCCATTAATTCACGAATTTTCTTAGCCACCTAAACAAAATTATTATGATGTTACAAATCAAACACCCATCTCAACAAAATAAATACTAAGGAAAGACAGAAAGAATCCCTGCCTGAGAATATGAGGGAAGAGCAACACTGCAATGTTACGGCTCATGGGCAAAGCCAATAATGACTGCATCAAGTCTAACATATTAATAATGTCTAGACAGTATCAATCTATCTGTATTTTACTAAAAATAAACTTTAACTGAAATTCACAGTGACAGTTCACTCATTTTCACCTATGTGTTATTTTCTTTGACATTCCTTGGCAAGCGAAATTTTTCTGTGTCTCATAATATTGGCATCTTTTTACACTATAGCCAAAGAATGTTTTTGCATCCCAAAAGTGATTCCAAAACATCATGCAATACCTCATCAAGAAACAGACGGGGCAACGGTGTTCTTTTGTCAAGGGCCACAGCAACGCGGGAGGCCATGCAGTACCTCCGGAACCAGGCCCACTTGTGTGTCTCGGCACAGCAAGGGAGAGTGTCCAGCTCCAGGTCACAAGCAAGAGCTACCAGTACCTGCAGGCATCGAAAATGACAAACACAGGGACACTCAGAAATGCAGTGAACAGGCCAAAGTTTCTGTGACTCCTTCCGCAGGACCTCCTATTCTAGGATGACTGCCATGGGCACACAGCAAGGATACGGCCACCATCAGTGATGTGGAGACAGATCTCTGACCGTTCCTAGCCACCTGCCATAGAACAACTCTTGTTGCCTGCCATTAAGTGACAAGAACACCTGTGCATCTCAAGGCATGCTAACGGTGACAGGCTTATGGTTTAAGGGTTTAGATTACACAATCATTTCTTGAGATTTTTTCATATTTGACTTCAGGAATACCTACAGCTGCCCTCAGAGGCCTAAAACACACACACTGTACATGACAGCTCTCAGTGGTTCTTTCAGTCAAATAGCTCTATTGTCACTTTAAAAAATAAGTCAAACATTACCTTAAAGAATGGGCTGTGGAGCAGCTGTTTGCCACCCCTCACAATAGGATCTTCATATTCAAACTGCCTCTGCAAAGCTTCTGGAAGACCTTTCACCAAAGCAGCAAGAGCACTACCTGTAAAACTCTAAGAAACAACAGAACAGTATTCCATCACAGGAATCCAGGCTGCAGGGGAGGGTGACCATTTGCTTCTATGGTCAAATGTCTCATTATGTTGGTACTATTTCTTCTAAAAAACAAAAAAAGCTTATCAAAATTCTCAAGTAGGAAAAAAGCTAAAAGAACATAAACACTAAAATAAAAAAGAGGAGTCTGAAGACTCATCTCAGAATGTTTACAATGATTTCAGCACATCCGCTTCCAGAGACACAGTCCCTCTCTGGCCCACAAATGCTGCCTGTCTCCTCCCATGGGTAGGATCAAAAGGGACTACTTTAGTCAGCAAAATACAGGGGAGGCCGTCAGTTAGCCTCATTGTAAAGTCCAATCAACACAATCCTGTGTTCACAGCTGTCCCCAGATTTTCACAAAATCAAAGTCCAACCTGAACTCAGTCTACACTGCAACTGTGCAAAGTCTGGATGAGACCAAGGTCTCCTTATTCTTTTTTTTTTTTGAGATGGAATCTTGCTCTGTCACCCAGGCTGGAGTGCAGTGGCACCATCTCGGCTCACCCCAACCTCCACCTCCCGGGTTCACGCCATTCTCTTGCCTCAGCCTCCCGAGTAGCTGGGATTACAGGTGCCCGCCACCACGTCCGGCTAATTTTTTGTATTTTTAGTAGAGACAAGTTTTCATCGTGTTAGCCAGGACGGTCTCAATCTCCTGACCTCGTGATCTGCCTGCCTCGGCCTCCCAAAGTGCTGGGATTACAGGCGTGAGCCACCGCGCCCGGCCCAAGGCCTCCTTTTTCTTATGTGAAATTCCCCAACTCTTCTCAATGATTTAGAGGTTTAGACTACGAAAGCAACATTTTATTCCCCAAGGGTCACAAATCTAGAAATTGTACTAGAACGCTCCATACCAAAGCTCTTGTTTCCCCATCATTTTCTCCAAGCAGCCTATTTATGTTAATTGACTGCCCAAATTCAGTTGTAAGCAGCTTCCTCAACCTCTGAAGGGCCCACATTCTGTGACTGGCGGCTGAAATGAGCAGAGAGAAAGTATAAGAAGTCTGACGGTTTCTTCCAAGCAGGAAGACAGGTGCAACTGTAACGGTGCCGTTTACCTAGGGCACTCAGCTGTGCACACGCTGCCAGCGAGGCCGCAAGGCGAGGGACGATGCTTCTGTTGGAGGCAAGGTTGAGTCGGAAGTCTAACAGACATGTCACCAAGTCCATGGATGGGCAGGAGAGGACGCAGCGGTCCGAGAGGAGTTCCTTAGGGCCTGTGAATGAGCACTGTGAACATCCCCGTGTTTCACAAGCTAGGGACCACCCCATAAGAAGCCAATGAACAAGGGCGGCTCCATCCAGCCCCACCCACCAGAAGGCAACAGCTGATGTGCCCACGCCTGCCACTGCAAGTCGGTGAGCCTCGCTCTTCACACTCACACTTCCACTGTAAACCAAAAGCCTTGAGAACTGCACCAGCAACAACTCCTTCCACACCAGGTGAGGAGTGTGTGCCCGACAGCTGGGACAGTTCTCTGTGTTCTATTCCACACCTCAGCGGGGCCTGTGGGAGCACTCACTCCAACACAGCAGAAGGCAGGCCGTCAGGCACTACGTGGAAATGTGCACGCGTCCGTGTTGCTCCAAAAACAATCCACAGCCAGTCATCTAACCTTGATCGCCAGAAGCCCCTCCCTTACCAGCAGCTGGCATGATGGGATAGACGGTGAAGCGCCAGCCCCAGCCATTCACAGACCCATCGCTGATGAACTTCCACTTTAACTCATCCCCCGGGATGCGCAGCTCGCTGGACCAGTCGGACCACTCTCGGCCTGGAGGAGGAAAGTGCACCCCGGGGTTAGCTTCACCCCACCATCCAATCAACACAAACCTCCTTAGACACAAAGCAGAAGGATTTCCGTCACGTGTGAAGAGCTAGTTCCTCCAATCCAAGCTCTCCCAAGCTGAAGTGCACAGTGACACATCACTCTTGGGATTCACATTTTCATACATACCATTCTTCAGCAAACACTCATTCAGCCCCTGTACCAGGTACCCAGGAAACAGGGCAGGCGGGAGGCACTGCCCTGGCAGAAGCCACCACCCAGTGGGGAAATGACCCCACACAGCCAGGATACAGTGAGTGGCCTCCGGGTCTCCAGCACACACCAGGCCAGGGGCCATGGGGACGTTCCCCGGGAAAGCTCTGATACAACCAGGTGGCCAGGCAGCAGAAGGAAGAACCCTAGCTGTCCCAACAAAGGGCCCATGTGTGTGGTTCAGCACGGCCCAGAGGAGGTCGCCCTCGAGGGAGCAGCGGGCCTGGCTGCTGTGGACAGGAGCGGTGGTGCATTACAGCATCTCAGAAGGCCAAGAGAACCCCGCTAGATTTCTGCTTCAGAAGGACCATCTGGCAGCAGCTCAGGGATGGCCCATAAGGACTTTCTGCTGGACGCAGAAAAACTGTCATATCCAACAACACTACTGAAAACTACACTGGCAGACATCTGTCAAAGCACCAGAAAAACCCACGCCCACCAGGACCAGACCACTTCATGCAAAGCTTTACCTAACTAAGTAATGCCGTGTGAATAAAGCTTTCCTGGGACACAGCCACATCCACTCACGGGCATCCAGTCTACATGTTGTTATGACAGAGGCTGCGTTACCCGGCCCTTTACAGGAAACACTTGAGATAAAGGACAAAGAGGTCTCAAAAGGTGCAAACACACCCCTGCACTGCCAATTCTAAAATACTCGGTAAAACAGCATTTCACAAGCCCCCCCAGATGTCCTCATCTGCGCCCACTGGCCTCATGGAGCCTAGTAGCAGAGACAAGCCAGACACGTGGCTGCCTCCATCTACATACAGAAGTCACTCCATACATGGCCACGCCCTCACTGTAGCCATAAGAAACAAACCCCTTGAAGAAGCTCTGCAGTATGCCAACCACGACCTCGCATGAGCCCTGGCACCCCACACATCTCCAGCACCTTCTGCAAGTGTCTGGTGAGGCAGAGCCCATCCGACAGGGATATGGTGCACATATCACAGATAATTACTATATTTAAAAGTATGGGGAAGAGGCAAGCAAACCTACTGTGTTTCACAGCTGAATAGCGTTTTGTCCCTTCCTCAAGACTTCCATGAGAATACAGTAGCAGCATTCTGTCCTACAAATGTGAAGGTTTATGTCTGCGGAGACACAGGTGGGCAGATGATGCCCTGCTCAACCTCCTGTCCTTACCTGACCGCACGGAGACAATCCTGCCTCAACCTCCTGTCCTTACCTGACCGCACCGAGACGATCCTGTTGACGCCGTCCATGATTGTGAGAGGGTCGTGGCGCCTCTCCGTGGAGCACTGCCGGTCAAATTCCACCCTGAGTCCTTCTGCACCTGGAGGACAGAACACAAAACATAGCAACCACTTCAGATCAGCACCCAAAGTAGAAACAGTGCACCAAGGAGAAACAGTGAAACTAAAACCACGTTTAACAGTGAATGAACAGCAGAAAGTCAGAAAGAACTGGCCTCAAATACAAGCATCTCAGACTGACCGCCCCTTTCCCCAGCTCATCCCCACTGAAGATTATGTCTGTGGACTGCAAGGCCAGAAAACACTTCCACTTGGCCAATTTGTTTTGTGCTGTCACTCCTGGGCAGACTTTCCCACTGCAACCCCACTCCCCGATCAAGCTTTACAGCGAACCTCACACTGACCAGGGGCTGCGGGAATGCCCAAAGTGCAGCCCAGTCAGACGGCAGTTGTGGGTCACCTGGGGAGTGAGAAGCACCTCAACTCCTGGCGTGTCCAGAGAACTGGAGAATTGCTTGGTGTGGAGAACACGCATGTCTGGTGTGAGAGGTGTGCAAGCAGAGGTACAAGAGTTTTCCTTCAGGCTGGAAGATCTTTAAGGTCTAGCAGAGGATGGCAGTGAGGGGCCAGGAAAGAGGTAGGCGGGGAAGGAAGGAAGGAGGAAAGATGTGGAGCAGGGGCTCAGGTTCCCTCCTACGGTTACAGGGTTGAGAGGCTCGGACTGGTTTTAAAACACTATCTCTGGATGCTCTGTTGGGGCCTGATTCTGGGGAGACCACAGGAGGTGGGGAGTGGAAGCAGGAATACAGGGAGGCAGTTAGGATGTGACTGCTGGGATGATAACCAGGTGAGACCCCACGGTGCTCTAGCCCAGAATATCTAGAGTGAGGGAGAAATGGGTGAATTTGGAATATATTTTAAAAAGCAGAGAAAACAGGATTTGTTGGTGGACTGGATATAAAGTGAGAGAGAAACAGAAAGAAAAAGGGTCACATGATTTTCATCTAGGCAAATGTTGACTAGGAATATCCTTTGTTCTTTAAACTTCCATCAAGAAGTAATACTTAAAGTTTAAAAACGCTTTTCTGGGCCAGAGGCAGTGGTACACGCCTGTAATCCTAGCACTTTGGGAGACCAAGGCAGCCAGCTTGCTTGAGCTCAGGAGTTCAAGACAGGCCTGGACAACATGGTGAAATCCTTTCTCTATATAAAATTTTTAAAATTAGCTGGACACGGCCTATAGTCCCAGTTACTCAGGAGGCTAAGGAAGGGGGATCGCTTGAGTCCAGAGGTTGGGGCTATAGTGAGCCAAGATCGTACTACTGTACCCCAACCTGGGCGACAAAGTGACAAAGCTTTTCTGAATCTCACCTCATTCTAAAAGTTCAGGAAAAATTATTTCACATAAAAATGAGCAAGATAAAAGTATAAGACCAAATACAATAAAAAGTTATTGTAAGAAAAAGGGAATAGGCTGGGCACGGTGGCTCACACCTGTAATTCTCAACACTTTGGGAGGCCCAGCTGGGAGAATCGCTTGAGCCCAGGAGTTTGAGACAAGACTGGGCAACACAGAGAGACTCGTCTCCACGAAAAATAAAAATAAGTTAACCATGCGTGGTGGCACAAGCCTGTAGTCCCAGCTTCTCAGAAGGCTGATGGGGAAGGATGGCTTGAGCCTGGGAGGTCGAGGCTGCAGTGAGTCAGAATCATGCCACTGCACTGCAGCCTGGGTGTCAGAGCAAGACTCTGTCTCCAGAAAAAAAACAGCGAGAATAAGGAACAAAATAACATCTCTATAGGCAATAAAAGCAGGCCACAAAGATATGCCCACAAAATACATCAATCCTGATCATTTCAAAACAAATAGAGTGAAATTAGAAAAATGATACAAGACATGAAAGAACCACATAAATCAGACAGGAAAACCAAAAAAATTAAATAAAGCTGAAGACAGAATTACAATGAAAACAAAACTACATTCCAATGGAGACTAAAACAGAGTGTAAAATAAATACAGCAGATGTTACCTTAAGACAAATAGGAAAAAAGGAGAAAATTGTTTAAAAAGAAACAGAGGTAAAAGGTACTTGAAAGAGAAAGTAACCAACATTAACTCTAAAAGTCATGAACTATCCAATGCATGGATAGTTTTCTAGGGACCAAGTGTCCCTAGAAAAGACTGCTAAGCAAGGTTACAGAACAAACACTGCAGATTGCAATTCAAGAGAATTGCAAAACAGACTTGGGACAACAGACTAAAGGAGCACCACTTACCCGAGAACATCACCGAGAACGGCCGCGCGAAGGCACATTCTAGTAAAATCACCGAAAAAACACACGCAGCTTCTCACAGAGAACACCAAGAATGGCCGTGCGGACACACATTCTAGTAAAATCACCAAGAAAACACACACGGCTTCTAACCAAGAACATCGCCGAGAACGGCTGCACGGACGCACATTCTAGTAAAATCACTGAGAAAACACATGCGGCTTCTCACCAGGAACATCACCGAGAACATGCGACAAACGCACATTCTAGTAAAATTACCGAAAAAACTCACAAGACTTCTAACTGGGAACATCACCGAGAACGGCCACACGAATGCACATTCTAGTAAAATTACCAAAAAAACTCACAAGACTTCTAACTGGGAACATCACCGAGAACGGCCACACGAATGCACATTCTAGTAAAATTACTGAAAAAACACACGGCCACACAAACAAACATTCTAGTAAAATTACCGAAAAAACACACACAACTTCTAACTGGCAACATCGCCGAGAACGGCCAACTGGGAACGTCACTGAGAACGGCCACACGAATGCACATTCTAGTAAAATTACCGAAAAAACACACACAACTTCTAACTGGGAACATCGCCGAGAATGGCCACACGAATGCATATTCTAGTAAAATTACCAAAAAAAACACAGGCAACTTCCAACCGGGAACGTCACCGAGAATGGCCACATGAACGCACATTCTAGTAAAATTACCAAAAAAACACATGCAACTTCTAACCAGGAACATCGCCAAGAACGGCAACATGAACGAATTCTAGTAAAATTACCGAAAAAGCACACACGATTTCTCAAGAACATCGCTGAGAACAGCCACTGTGACTCCTAACTGAGAACATCACCAAGAATGGTCAGACAAACACCCATTCTAGTACAGAACGGCCACAAGAACGCACATTCTAGTAAAATTACCAAGAAAACACGCGGCTGCTAACCAAGAACATCGCCGACAACGGCCACACAAATGCACATTCTAGTAAAATTAACAAGAAAACACAAGCGGCTTTTCACCAAAACGGCCACACGAACGCACGTTCTAGTAAAATTACCGAGAAAACACACGTGACTTCTAACTGAGAACATCGCCAAGAACAGCCACACGAACGCACCTTCTAGTAGAATTACCGAGAAAACACACGCAGCTTCTAACCCAGAACATCACCGAGAACGGCCACATGAATGTACGTTCTAGTAGAATTACCGAGAAAACACACATGGCTTCTAACCGAGAACATCGCCAAGAACAGCCACATGAACGTACATTCTAATAAAATGACTGAAAAAACACACGTGACTTCTAAGGGGAAAAGATGTTATCATTTTCACATTTTCACAGAGGAAAATGACGTGACCCAAGGCTTTAACACCCAGAAAAACTACCTTTCAAATTCAAAGGACAAAAACTCTCGTGGACAAGTCTGACCTCAGGGGCTAATGAGGAATTCAGTAGAGTGCACTTTAGACCCCACAAGGACCAGTCAGTAAAACTAAGACTTGAAGACTGAAAGAAAGTATGGTACGTAACAGCTATTATGCTCTTGTAGATGCAGTATAATCATTTTAATAAATTTGAGGAAATTAGGGCATATTCTAAGATTTTTAAGAATTTCAGTAATTATACTGATGTTGGCAGTATTGAAATTATATCCTAAGTCTGTCATATGTGCAATGTGGTTACATAAAGCAAATGAAAAATCACGAGATATTTTATCAAACAGTATCTTGGAACCAGGATTCGATATGGAAGAAAAGAGAGGCAGATGTAACAGGAGTACAGACCTTGTACTTTTGAATTTGAGTAGAAGGAATCAGCACATTAGCCAGGCGAGGTGGCACGCGCCTGTACTCCTAGCTACTCAGGAGGCTGAGGCAGGAGGATCAATTGAGCCCGGGAATTCGAGGCTACAGTGAGCTATAACTGCACTCTGCACTCCAGCCTGGGTGACAGAGCAAGATCCTGTCTCTAAACAAATAAATACATAAATAAAATATAAAAAATAAATAAAAGGAAAACATTTTTAAGTATCAGTACGAACTCAAAACAATCCAGGGCAGATCCCAGGTGAAGAGTGGCAACCTACAAAAAACCAAGGTCACCATGTTTAGACTGCCTGGACGCGACCAAAGACCACCAGAATCACTTCAGGTACCACACTGAAGAGGCTGCCACTGTCTAGAAACAGGATAATCTCAGCTTTAACAAAGATAATCACAATAAAGTAAAACGATCACATATGTTTCAATCCATGAGTTCATAATAATATTTTAAAAAAAAAGGTCACCTTCAAGAAATGATAGGAAACCAATTCATTCTCTGGTCAACAGAAGGAAGAATCAAGCTTTTGTCTTTCTCAGGCAAACAGCACTTTGGGCAACCAACTATAGGATGAGGGGAAATGTCTCTTTATAAGAAAGTATTCCAGCTAATAAATAAGCAAGAGATGATTCCACCAGAATAGTACCATTTTGTCGTGGGCCAACAGCCTCAGGTGCTAATAAGCCCCAGGGGCTGCTGATGTCACAAAAGAAACACAGGCAGGTAGGAGGGGCCTGCGGGGGCTGAGTCACAGCCACTAAGGAGCTGGTGAAAGGGGAGGAACTTATGGGCCTCCGAATCAGGCAGCACCTTGCAGAAGGACGGGCCTGAGGAACACACTGAACAGCAGCACGCGTGTCCAGTCAGCAGATTCAGGCTGCAGAGAAGTCTGCTGGATCAAAGGCCAGGGCCTCAACAATTTTCTTAAAAATTTTTCTTGAGTTGTTAAAAAGAAAAGAAAGATACACACACGGATAACAGAAGCTGTCCAGAAACGCAAGTCAGTGATGGCTCAACGTCAGGACAACATCACTCAGAGGGACGTCAGGGGACAGGCTGAGGGCTTCCAGAATCTGCCACAGGTTACGTCTAGACCTGGGTCATGATGACTAGGGCGTCTGCCTGATTATCATGACGCTAAACATTTACTTTGTGTGACTTTCTGTATGATTTATTGTGCAAAAGAAGTTTCTTAGAAAAGGGGAGAAAAGTGATTCTGAAGCAATTCTGTATCTTCTTTTTATAAAACGGAGACGGCTGTTTCTACTGAAGCAATTAGAGAATCACACCGTTCTGAAGGTGGAAACGCTGCAGCTCCTCCCTGGGGCCGGCCCTGTACCTGGTATCTTCACGGTGCCGCTGGTGGAGGTGTCGTCGGTGTAAGGGTGGCTGCTCTCCACCACCACAGGCTGAGAAGAGAGACGGCCGCTCTGCGAGTCTGTGGCCACGTCCTCCAACTCGGTGACGCAGAGCTCCAACAGCATATCTGCCACCTGGAGAGGAAGCAAGGACATGAACAAAGAGGCCAACAATTCCACACCTGGTCACCTGCATGCCACCTCTGTCCGTCCTGCTCCAGAGCTCCACAAGGACAGGGTGGCAGACTGGAGGGCTTGGAGTTTGAGAAATTGAGTTCAAATCAGGGCTTGGCTTCCTTGCACATAAAACAGAGACAGCAGCACAGAGCTTGAAAGGTGCTGTGAAGCTTAGAGATGATCTATATTAAAAAGTCATTGGGGCCAGGCCTGGTGGCTCATGCCTGTAATCCCAGCACTTTGGGAGGCCGAGGCAGGCAGACCACCTGAGGTCGGGAGTTCAAGACCAGCCTGGCCAACACGGAAAAAACCCATCTTTACTAAAAATACAAAATTAGCCAGGCATGGTGGCGCACGTCTGTAATCCTGGCTACTCAGGAGGCTGAGGCAGGAGAATCGCTTGAACCCGGGAGGCGGAGGTTGTGGTGAGCCGAGATCGCACCATTGCACCCCAGCCTGGGTGACCCAAGCAAGACTGTGTCTCAAAAAAAAAAAAAAAAAAAAGTCATTGGGTGCAGTGCAGTGGCTCATGCCTGTAATACAAGCATTTCGGGAGGCTGAGGCAGGCAGATCACTTGAGATGAGGAGTTCGAGACCAGCCTGGCCAATATGGTGAAACCCCACCTCTACTAAAAATACAAACTAAAAATGCCTGTAGTCCCAGCTACTCAGGAGGCTGAGACAGGAGAATCGCCTGAACTCAGGAGGTGAAGGTTGCAGAGCTAAGAATGCGCCGCTGCACTCCAGCCTGATGGACAGAGAGAAGCTCTGTCTCAAAAAAAAAAAAAAAAAAAAAAAAAAAAAAAAAAAGTAGTTGGAAGGCTCCCAACACACACAACACTTAACATGTGCCAGCTGATCAGATGAAACACCGTGCTAACAACGGCTTCATTTCACACCAAGACACGATCACTTCCTAGTGAGGAAAGTTGGCCTTGGAAACAAAACTATCAAGGGAAGGAGCACCCAGCAGGTGAAAATGACCACAATCCCAGAAGGCAACGGAGCCCGGTGGGAGGGGCAGGAATCAGGAACCATCAAGCCACCCAGGCCAGACAGGGAGTCTGTGACAGGAGGGACCACCGACCCCAACACGGCTGCCCCTCCTGACCCAGTACACTGGGGTCAGACCCACGCCACATTCTCAACAATCCACAGTGTTCTTATTTTATTTTAAAAATTATTGGTGATTCACAATCACCAATTGTAACTTTTTACAATTAAGGTTACGAGTGGTGATTATAACCTCTATTATTTCTAAAAATAAATGAGAGAATATGTCATAATAGTAATAATCTATTAACCCCAAAATTTTTAATCCAGAAAAAAATAAAACTCTTCTAATGCCCATTCTATACTTTTTAGAAATAGATTATTCTTTTTTCTATTTTTCCTCATATGTAGGTAAGAAATAGCTTTGCTTAGTAAACATATTATATATTAATAACAAACTAATACCACTGTCATATAGGCATGATTTAAAATCTAAATTTCTCTCTCTGAATCCCAAATATCAGGTTAGGGCAGGACACAGAAATAGCCATCTTGCCAACCTGGCAAGGGCAGTATGAAAACGGCCATATCCTTATTCCTGTCTCTCCTGGAACCTGGTTGAGTTACTGAAAGCAGATGTCGGCATCATCAAGCGCCCGTGTGCAGAGCTGACCAGGGGCTCTGGCCTTCAAAGGCTGCTCTGCCAAAGGCATCATCTGCAGAGGGGTCATGACAGAGCTGGGGCTCAGAGCACTCAGGGTTCCAACCCATCTCTTCCACCTACCAGCAAAGTGAGTGTCCTCAAGCCGTAACAACCTCTCAGCCTCAGTTTCCTCATCCATATATAAAGGTAACCCCTACCCTCTGTACTGAGAACGCGGGACGTGCATGGCAAAGGCTCAGAATTATTTTAAATTGAAGTTCTCATTCATACCCTTCCCTCTCACAAATGCAATAAACTTATGAAAAATAATAACAGTGCTTATGGCAATTCACCTCGATTTCATCTCTTAGAATTATGCCAAGTAACTCATCTCAAAAAACTAGAAAAAAGGAAACCTATAGCTTTTTACTTCTTCATGAATAGCAGATGAAGAAATAACAAGCCCCTAAAATATTTACCAAACCTTTGCTGTGCTTTCAAGACTGCTCAGCTCTACTTAAGTGCTTTATCATTTTGGTGATCATGTAAGTTACTAAAATTTCTTTTTTTTTTTTTTTTTTGAGACGGAGTCTCGCTCTGTCGCCCGGGCTGGAGTGCAGTGGCCGGATCTCAGCTCACTGCAAGCTCCGCCTCCCGGGTTCACGCCATTCTCCTGCCTCAGCCTCCCGAGTAGCTGGGACTACAGGCGCCCGCCACCTCGCCCGGCTAGTTTTTTGTATCTTTTAGTAGAGACGGGGTTTCACCGGGTTAGCCAGGATGGTCTCGATCTCCTGACCTCGTGATCCGCCCGTCTCGGCCTCCCAAAGTGCTGGGATTACAGGCTTGAGCCACCGCGCCCGGCCTGCTGATTGAGTTCTTAAGGAAGCCCACGGCCTTTAGGACTGATCAGTCCTATTTCTAAGACATAGTAATAAGATACTCACTTTATACTGCAGACCTACTTTGGTGATCATGTAAGTTACTAAAATTTCTTTTTTTTTTTTTTTTTTTTGACAGGGAGTCTCGCTCTGTCGCCCGGGCTGGAGTGCAGTGGCCGGATCTCAGCTCACTGCAAGCTCCGCCTCCCGGGTTCACGCCATTCTCCTGCCTCAGCCTCCCGAGTAGCTGGGACTACAGGCACGTGTCACCACACCCAGCTAATGTTTGTATTTTTAGTAGAGACGGGGTTTCACCATGTTAGCCAGGATGGTCTCGATCTCCTGACCTCGTGATCCGCCCGCCTCGGCCTCCCAAAGTGCTGGGATTACAGGCTTGAGCCACCGCGCCCGGCCTGCTGATTGAGTTCTTAAGGAAGCCCACGGCCTTTAGGACTGATCAGTCCTATTTCTAAGACATAGTAATAAGATACTCACTTTATACTGCAGACCTACAGACCAGTTCAACAGCTACTAGCCACATGTGCCTCAAATTGAGTGTTTCAAACCCTTTGGTTCCTCAGGTGCACTAGCCATATCTCAGTGCTCATGTCATACATGGCTATGCCAACAGTTCCAGATGGCTCCTGTCCAGAACATTTCCACAGGGACAAAGTCCTAGGGACCCAGTGCTACCAAACATTAAAAACATTTTAAAGCTATAATAGTTAAAATACCATAGTATTAGAGTCTAAAAAGTTTTGTAAATAGACCCAAATGCACACAGGAATTTAGAATATGATAAAACTGGTTTTTAAATCACCAGGGAAAAGAAGAATTGTTCAATAAATAATGTTAGGGCAACGCTTATCATCTAGGAAAAAAATAAAATTGGATCCCTATTTTATTCTTACATCAAAATAAATCCCAGGTGCCTAAAAAATGTAAACAATACATGAAATCATAAAAAACTTAGAAGAAGGCCGGGCGTGGTGGCTCATGCCTGTAATCCCAGCACTTTGGAAGGCTGAGGTGGGTGGATCACTTGAGGTTAGCAGTTGGAGACCAGCTGGGCCAACATGGTGAAACCCTATCTCAACTAAAAATACAAAAATTAGCCAGGCGTCGAAGCACGTCTGTAATCCCAGCCACTCGGGGAGCTGAGGCACAAGAATCACTTGATCCCGGGAGGCAGAGGTGATCCCGGGAGGCCGAGATCGCACCACCGCACTCCAGCCCTGGTGAAGGAGAAACTGTCTCAAAAAACTTGGAAGAAAATTTGGAAGAATTTATTTAAAACAATGTCACATAAGCGAGCATTTTTTTTTTCAGCATAATACAAAACTCAGAAGGCATAAATGAAAAAAACTGACAGATTTGATCATGTAATAATTAAAAATTTCTACATGGCAAAAAAATATCAAACTAATAATGAAAGATAAACTGGGGTGGAAACTGTAAGACACATGATAGAAAAGGGACTTAAAGAACTCTGACCGTGACGAATCTTTTTTAAAGATGCACAAACAAGAGCCGGGGGTGGGGCTCGCCTGTAATCCCAGCACTTTGGGAGGCCCTGAGACGGTGATCCACGAGTCAGGAATGAGACCATCCTGGGCCAAGACAGGTAAACTCCGTCCCCTTAACTAAAAAAACACACAAAAAATTAGCCCAGGCCGTGGCGGCGGGGGCCTGTAACCCCAGCAACTTGGAAGGTCCATCCGAGACCCGGGTGGATCACGAGGTTCGAAGATTGAGACCATCCGCCTAACACCGGAAACCCCCCGTCTCTACTAAAAAAACACAAAAAAAATTAGCTGGGCGTGTGGTGGGGCCTGTAGTCCCACTACTGCAGAGGCCTGAGGCGGAGATGTGGTGAACCTGGAGGTGGAGGTTGCAGTAAGCCGAGATCGCGCCCACTGCACTCCAGCCTGGGTGACAGGTAAGACCGTCCCTCAAAAACAAAAAAGATGCACAAACCAAGTTGTAAATAGTAAAGGGCCCAGGCGCATGGCTCACCGCCCTGTAATCCCAGCCCTCTTGGCAAGGCGAGGCCAGGTGCTCCGAGTCGAGAGATCAAGAACCATCTGGCTAACACAGTGAAACCCCGGCGGTCTCACTAAAAATACAAAAACACATTAGTGGTGTGGTGGCGGGTGCCTGTAGCTGCCCAGCTACTCAGGAGGCTGCAGGCAGGAGAATGGCGTGAACCTGGGAAGCGGGACTTGCAGTGAGCCGAGATCGCGGCCAGCTGCACTCCAGTCTGGGGCGACAGAGCAGACTGCCGTCTCAAAAAACAAACACAAAAAACAGATAAGGATGTCACTGGGTAAATGCTAAAACGTTTGTCTAAAGGAGTGCTCCTAACCTGCTGTCCTACTAGATGGAAAACCCAGCACAAGATCACCGTGATTCACAGCTGCTCTCCCTTGGAGAGGAGGTTGGCCGCCCTGTGGAGAGGTAGGGTCAGACCGGCCCCCGCCCTCCCTGAAGACTC